TAAAAAGACATGTATATAGTTGTGTAGTGTGGATGGAAGCTATCTGGAGTTAAACAGCATGATAATATTTATGGTTTTAAAACCGTAAAAGTGAACACCGATATTTAACATTCCTAGTAATATTAAAGATAAAAATACGAAGTATAATTATGGATGTGATTATTTTATATTTTTAGTAATATGATGATAGAAAAAGATAAGAAGTAAATCGAAGCATATGGTAATTATCATACCTTTTTAGTAATATGGTGTAGGGAAGGTATAATGTGATACTTACATATGTCTAGTAATATGATGTGGGCAAAACAGGAAAGACTAAAATCAAAGTTAAAAGGATCTTAGGAATGGTGGGAGGATAGCAATATGATAGAACCAAGTGCCTGTCATCGGATGTAAGTTATTAATTAGTTGTTTTATATTTCTTATGGCAACACCAATTGTTTAAAGGCATGATGAGATTAAAGTATAAAGATAATCAAGCGCTATCTCAATATACACACGTGATACTAGATTACTGTGTATTTTTAACACGTATCTCGGAACACGTGGGTTTTATAACCTTGATGTTTAGTATCCCTGATTCCTGAATTGATGAAATGACCATATTGTGCAGTAAAACATTAACTGTTGACTTTCTGCATCGACGTTCTAAGGATTGTTTCTAACTTCGTATTTCTTCTTATTATTTAAAACGACCGAATTAAAACTATTACGTCACTAAGGATAAAAAAACAATGAAAGAGTCTGATATCATGATAGATAGAGCAATCTCATATTTAAAAAGTCGAGTAGATATTTACGTAGTTATGTGACATAAACAAACATTACAACATGTCCTTTACCAGTTAAACTTAAGACATACCGTATAACAGGGTAATTCCGCCGGGACGATATTTTCATGATTTTGCGGGTCAATAACGAGAAGATTCGTATACATAAAGAGTAATGATATTTGAAAATGTATTTTATCACACATGCTTATATACTAGCGGAAACAAGAAACTGTGCATGCCTAAAATGTGTTATAAAAATAAATGTGTATGACGTAGAACAACAAGGTTTTTAGGGACAATTTATTCGTTATTTATTAACAGTTGCATTCCATTTCCACGTTATGGAATCAATAAGTTCCGCTCAGGAGTGACGTAAACACAGCAGGGGTCAATACTGAGTTTACAAAGTTAATACCTCGTATGTCCACCGTTTGCCTAAATGCAAGCCTGGCAACGTCGACGCATGGAGCCTATTAGACGGTTCAAGAATGCTTGTCGGATGGCATTCCAGATCTATACCAACGCTGCAGTCAAATCAGCCAACGTCACCGGTTGATTAGGTAGTGCCCATAATCTGCGCTTCATTTCATCCCAGACGTGTTCAATGGGAAACAGATCGGGGGATACATCAGGCCAGGGCAACACGTCAACGTTCTGCTGGGCCAGAAATTCCATAGCGACACGAGCTGTGTGTGGCCTGGCGTTGTCCTGCTGTAGCGTAATGTGACGTTGCTGCCCTTGCACGAATGGAACGACGTGGGTCCGGAGGATCTCGTCACGGTAACGTAGCGCGTTCAAATTCCCGTTAACAACCACCAGAGGCGTTCTCCCGTTGGCTGTGATGCCGCCCCAAATCATAACACTGCCTCCGCCGAAGGAACGTCGTTGTACCACACACGCGTCACGGAAACGTTCTCCAACGCGACGATACACTCTGGAACGGCCGTCACTTCTATCCAGGTGGACTCGCGACTCGTCCGTAAACAAAATGCCGGCCCAATCCCGTCGGGTAAATCGCAGATGCCTGCTGCACCAGTCCAGACGTGCTACACGATGACGCGGCAGAAGAACTAGGCGGATTGTAGGATGTCGCGGACGGATAGCTCGTTCACGCAATCGGTTCCGTACAGTTATCGGGCTTATTGGTAGCAACCCAGGGATTGTCCGTGCAGTCAAACTAGCCGTTTGGAAGCGGTTTTTCAAATGGACAAGCCGAATATGGTTGTCCTGTTGACGTCACACGTGGACGTCCCGCACGAGGTCGATCGCCGACGTGGCCAAACTGTTGATGTCGTCTCCACAAATCCCGGTTGTGTTTCGATGGACATGGAAACGTGTAGAGACAACGGCTTGGCCCATACCAGCTTGAAGCATACCAATAATCCAGAGGCGGTCATTTTCATTGAGCTTCGGCATAGCATTAATCATAAATTAAAACGTTATAATGCTGTTTTTACTGGTCATTGGTCTCAACAGAGTGACCCAACAGTTGAAAAACAAACTTTCATTTTCGAATTGGATGGCTGGACGAGAAAAACGTGCAAACTGGTCAACGCCTATAGAGAGCAAACTGCACGGGAAAAACTGTCAATGACACACGGATTGTGTGTATGTGTCATACTCGGTCATGTATGTGAATTTTCATGTATATACAGTTGGTAATGCATGTTCTATAACAATTCTCCACATGCACAGTTTCTTTTTTCCGCTAGTGTAGTTTTGTTGATGATTAGTTCACTTACTTATTTTTGCTCAATGTCCCGTTATAAAGCCTACTCATATGACAACTGTCCCGTTATAAAGCCTACTCATATGACAACTGTCCCGTTATAAAGACTACTCATATGACAACTGTCCCGTTATAAAGCCTATTCGTATGACAACTGTCCCGTTATAAAGCCTACTCATATGACAACTGTCCCGTTATAAAGCCTACTCATACGACAACTTGACAGCTTGACATTTGCCAACTGTCCCGTCTTTCCGAGAAAATTAGTTTATTCATAAGTCTAGTTCGTGGAATATTTATTTGTATAAATTTGATTTTCTTATTTTGGGTCAAAATCGCGAAAATTTAAACCCGCGTAGATAACCCACTATCTGGTATATCAAGAACCTGTGTATTAGACATATTGATGTTTATCTGAATCGAAAATGTAATTTTCCTATATAATACCTGTTGTTTTCGATATACAAGCACTTCATGTACCCACCGTGCTAAGGATGAATGACTTCCGCAATGAGCTTGTCTGAGTATCATATCATATTTAAGTTAGCTACGCCCTTACCTGGGCAGGTATGTTGATACCTTATCTTTTGATTAAGTAGTTATACAACACTTCAAAGAGGTTCTTAGCGGGGAAAGAATCCAATCAAAACTGCCAACGATATTTCTCGCATCAGAAACATTGATATTGCAAATTTATCATTAGCTACAGAATTAACGCATAACCATGTACATTAATATCGATATTGTAGAGGTTATACATATATACGACAAAAATACCACAGTGTCAAAAACAAGAACACAATCAAGTCTGAGAGCCAACTTGAAATGACAATAGCGATCCAATTAATGTATACCTACGACATATTGGCAACGAAACGAGGAAGGAACCATGCAACTATATTGACTCTGCATGATATAATTCAGATATAATATTTTTTTAACTGATGATTTCATGCGAGTGTGATGATGTACACAGGTATCTGTCTACACCGTAAATCATTCATTAATTACCCACCAGGTATTACTGTTTTCCCAGAGAACAACCTTCATTTTCATTGACAATTGAAACGCAGAATTTGATACATCTTTTATTCCAAAGTCATGCGCTCTGAGGACTAAATATTTCCTGCACAACCAAGAACTCCTATCAAAACGGGTCCTATCAAATATTAGAATAAACGATCTAAGATACAGTTGTCAACTCATGTAAATAATTATCGGATTGTAATCATGCACAGTTTCCATATCAGAGAAATATACATTGATATCTTCTAGAACATTCTTATTACGGAAACATGGTTTTATAAAATGCTTTCTTGTATGGAAAAATGTATGATTTAAATCTACAAGTTTCCATTAGCAATATACAGAATATGCAAGAAATATTTACTTTACTTCAAAAAATGTGCAAGACTTAATATACTTACAAAACAGACGATATGTTCATATTTCCATTTGCTCTGCATTACCACTGTATAACATTACCAAACAAAATAGAATGATATCAGATCATTGTTCTGACATTATTCCCATTGGTGTAGTGATATGAAGAACAATTTCTTGACGTGACTAAATGACGTCGATTTGACCGACGTCACTATATTAAGTGTATTATTGACGTCACGAAAACAATTGTCGCAATACGTATTCCTCGGGGTAACCAATCCGTGCTTCTGGATTAAACCCCCAATTGATCAATGTAACTCGCAACAATGTATGTAGTTATATTGTATATAATGTGAATATCCTCACGGTGGAATATATTGGTTAATTTTTTGGAATTAAATTGATCATTTTGTGTTTATTTCCACGAAGTATATGTTTTGCCGGGAACGGTCGCGTGTACTCGTGACGTCACAAGAACAGCTCCCATTGGCAGACAGCGCGAAATTTGACTTTGAAATGCGATAACAGGTTGGAAATATAAGAAAAACCTAAATAAAAAACGGAAATATAAGTATTAAACTGCCTTCTTTGGAAAGTTATTCTCCTATAATTCTCACAGGATTGCAGACAAATTGATAAATGCGGGTAATTAGCCAACTACTTCACATTATCTAAGGCTTTTGGTTACTAACTTGTTTTAACTCATTAATACAATTAATTTGTAGGTGCAATTGAAAAATTAGCTGATTCAAAAAATAGGACCATGCATATATTTTGTTTTACTGTTAATGATTGGCGTTATATGTATATGAAAATAATATATACAACAATGCATTGTAGTATACTGTCAATGTTACATTACCGTAAGAGCGACATTTTAGACAGTTAGTTCAATAATCAGTATAACCTTTTTTCAATTTTTTGTTCATATCTTGGTATACATTTTATAAAAGCTTGAGAATAATTCCCCATTTTGTTGCATTTGCACAAACATACTAATATCACGGTATATTTCCCCTGTTTTGTACCTCGAGGAAGCTTTACTCTCCGATAACGATGAACGAACAAGTACAGATATGATTCATAAAATCTTGACGATACGTTTATCTGAACAAGACTGTCGTACAGAGTGGTAAATTTCACAGGTATTTGTGTTTTTAGTCGATTTCCGAGGAATATTACACCATTAACAGAACTGACCGGGAGGACTTCGCAATGAAAAGTAACTTATTTTTATCTTTATCATGACGAGTTCAATTTCGCTACATCTGTACTCAAGGTGACAGTTCGTAAGATTAAATGTTTTATTTAAAGATAAAAGGCAATGAAACATAGCACAAAAAGGAACAGAGGAAACTATAAGCAAAGGGCAACCGATATAAAAGATATAAATCGATAATGCTCTTTAGGGATAAGAGTTTCACCTATACATTAAAACTTTTCGAACTCAATGTCTTACAAAACATTTCTTAATGGACGGTATTCGTCTCATTTCTAACGAATACTAGTGTTTTGTCGAAACTTTTATCCACTTCAGGGAGAGTTAAGGCAAACATCTACAAGAGAAACTTAAGTTATAAATCATGAAACTCGCTTAGGAATCTTCTGCCGAGGATTGAGATACCCAATAAAACCTCGAGGGGTGAATGTTATTTCTATTAACACTGTCGATCATTTCATACATAAAAGGAGCATTGTCCCAACTGCTTTAGTGTATTTTCGAAGTGACGTTAATGCAATCATGACGTGAGATAATTGTATTGATGACGACATGTCATGCAATTGTTATGACTGGGGAATAACTGCGTCTAAACACTAGGGTGAGGCAAGGATATCGCACACCTCTCTGGGGTAGGATATAGAAAAGAACATGTGTATCCAAGAGGTGATATGCTGAATGTCTAGCTAGAGTTGTGGGATCACACAACGTTACACGATGTGCGGTGTGTGCACCATGTGCAAACGATGAAAACCTGTGCGTTAATAGCATATGCAAAATTGTGCGATAACTATCGCACAGTTGTTCGATATAGGTATCTAGGTTTGTATACATATATATATTTAAGGAATGGCGGGTCAATATATACACATGGTTATCTAATTATCCAGCAGTAATGGAAACATTACGAACACAAACTGTTTTGAAACGACCTCAATCGACACGTGTGTAGATATACGGTCATACATATATAAGTACTTTACTTGCAAATAAATTGTAAACAAAACCGTCTTACCTGTTACCAGCTAACTGTTAATTACCAGGTACCATCTTTTACAGCCTTAAGTATTGTTGTTTTAACCATAGCTAGCGAGTCATGATTAAGTTGTTGAATAATTATACTCCATATTTATTGTAGATTTAATCTAATTAAGTTTTGTTATTATCTTTTTAGGTCAACTTCGTGCAATGCTGTATTTTATGTGTAAGTAATGTTTTAAATACTTAATAAGTCCCTCAAACAACTTTGGTAACTATTTGCTTGGTACGTTTCTAAACATGACTGATGTTCTTCATTTTTTCTTCCTGTTGCTATTTTCCTCTCGCCAAACAGTTTCCGGACATATTCTAAAAAACATATACCGACCAAATATTAACGCAACTCCATATGATCGGTCCCTCTATATGTCTGATTTTATTAAGAAAAATAATGTAAATGTATTTTGACATTTCAAAAGCCTCTCGATGCATCATGTGTGACTACAGGGGATATATTGGAAACTATTGTAACTATGCCCGTTACAATAAGAACTTGCTTCTTTCGATTTCGAACTGTAAATCATGTGTGACATTTGCAACCACCAATGCAATAAACCTTATATGAAGCATGGAAATTAACCGTATGATCTATATTAAAGTTTATAAATATTTCTTATATATTTTACTATATATTTATCAATTCATTTTATTTTGAAAATCTGCGTTACACTTACGTAATGACAACACCACGTGATCACTAAGACAAATGTAAAACCAATATCACAATTCCCTCCATATCAGAGCTAACAAATTGGAAGGTATGGTAGTTTGCACAATAAAGCATCATTGTGTTAACAGAAATAGCTACTAATCTTCTACCAGTCAGTGACACAACTGATACAAAGTTAGCGCTCGGACTCAATATATATTGCGTGTTCCCATAAAAATACTTTCAAGGAAAGAATCGATATTAACAAACAAGAGAAATACATTGTTAACATTGGAGATTGTCACTCTCCCCTGTAATACATAAGTAATACCTTCCTTTACTGTATTAGGCTAATGCTATTGTTTCAGTAAACAATGGACAATGCATTTAACAGCTATAAGTGTTCAGCTTGCAATTCTATTCTGAAATTGTTAAAGTTTTGTTTCAGCATAAAAGTTTGCCCTTCATTACACAATCCCAGCTATTGGATTATATGATGTCATGATACGGATGAGATCAATCAATTTTGTTTCAAGTTGTAGGCCTGGTAGTCTTGATTGTCACGGAAGCCACAACGATTGAAGATCTGGGTAAGCTTATATAATCTTTGTTTTTTTTTGTCAAACTGCCTTATGTATGTATCCTTTGTTGGGTACTTGTATAGCCTATAACTTGATATATACCCGTTGGCATTTTGATATTCTAATTTATTAACTGTTGTCAGCTCAGAGAAATATTAGTTTTTCCTTCCACCTCAATTATTCATATCAAAATACTTCATCAATATTTTAATAAAACGTAGTAAGTGTAATCCTAATACAATTTAATCAGTTTTCATAGCACATTGTTTCATAATGTGACAATTATCTCTTTTGTATATTTTTTTTCGCTTTTTCTCATAATGTAATTGATTAAGCACTCGCCAATAATCTCCTTTAGTTTCGATTGATTTTATCTAAAATCTATGAGATTAAGAGGTTGATTTTGAAATTACCTTATGGCGTAGTTTATTACTTCATAGAATTATTATGTATTTTTTACATTTTGAAGTGTTAAAACGTAGCTTTACCCTGTTTGGCTCAAAATGTTATGATTTGGAACGATTACTGATCGATCCTAAACTGTCAAAGTGGCATTTGGTGCTGTCAATCGTTACTTGTTTGCATTGCTTATTGGCTTACTTATTTTAAAAAAAGCTTTTGTAATACTAAATGTAAAAAAGTCTGTAAGTATGAAGCATGCATTAAGAATCTCGGAATAGATGGAACAATGTTATATCGATTGATCTGTAAGTATTGTTTTGATTTTAGAAGTACAGTTAATGAATCATAATGCGAAAATAAGATTATAAATGGTACCGTTGCATCAAAATATTGATGTAAAAAAGGCACCGACTTACGTTAAAATGATACCTTAGCATTTTGTTTTTTTATCTGTTAAAATAAGAATGTTTTCGCAAAACATGGTTAGAATATTTATACAATATATCTTTCCACAGAACAATTTATAATGCTAAAATAAGTGATTTAAGTAAACAGTTCTATGTTACTAGCAACTTATACAAATGTACATCTTGGCGTATAGATATTAAATCAACATTCTGCTCTCAACGAATGAGCTCAGAATCTAAACATTGATTTACCACTCAACTTCGGAATGCTCTGTGTGTTTTCCGTCGGTGTATGGTTATTTCACTCACCACAGCCTCCCCATTATACGTTGATAACACGATTGCTGAAAGACATTCCACCTCTCCAGACTTTCTAACATACTGCTACTTAATTGATGATCTATTTGTATATTGATTTGTTTTTTAGTTCTGTGGCAAAATGTTTAGATAACAAATAACATCGATAGGAAAGATTGTAGTATGTATATATGTATAGGTTACGATATAATGTGAAAATTGGAGGGCGCGAGGGAGAATGTTGGGTACAAAAATAAAACCTGTCTAGTAAGTATGTTTATTTCGTTACAGGGCGACATGTATGATGCCTGTTCAAATGTTTGGGAATGATGATATTTGTAAAAATAAACACAAAAAAAGCTCTGAATTAATGGATAAATTATTAAAACAGATTCGCTGAGGAAGGTTGTAGCACCATGTGGACATTAGCGTTTAAACAAGTAACGTCATAGAAAATGATATATATAATTGAGGATGTTTATTGCATCGTGTATTAAAAGGAAGCAGAAGATGTCTGCTGGAAACCCCTACTCTATGGGCAATATAGTACTCATTTAGTTTGTAGCATTTATAGGCATATAACAAAAAGGTCCTGAGGATAAACAGTGCAGTTTTAACCAATAATTATATTTAAATACAATGACGTGTTATGTATTTCTTAATCGGTTCATTTCTAATAGAAATGTCTTAAACTTGAAAATAAGATAACCTGCTTAATAACGGACGAATTTCAGAGTGATATGTACAGCATAAATTCTTCTAGAGTTCACATTTCCTTTTTTTTTTGGCATTTTTTTTTTTTTAAATTATTGTTCTGAAATGTATTTGAGAAATTTATCATGTTTATGTATACTCTTTGCTACCCATATTTAGTTAACTGTCACATGTTTGAGGTCATCGTGAGGTCTGTCCTATGTCACAGTCTAAAATTCTTAACATTTTCTTTTAAAACAATGGACTATGCACTTTTTGGAGGAAACTTCCAAGGTCAAAGACATTACAAAATTATGAATTATTCGGTTCTCATTTTCAAATGAATTGAAATAATTGAATGATATTTTGATGTCATAAACTTTACCGCATTGTTCTCGTGCCAATCAACACATATATTATTTTTTGTACAATATTTTCATTTATAAGTAAAACGTAGCACACTTGTTTTAAGGATACCTACTGCTTACACAATTAGTAATACTTATTATATTAGGCCACATGTGTATATAACAGAATTGTACACTATATATGTCCATGGCATTGATTGATACACTTTTGTTGGAAATAATTAATTATTACGATAAAGTGCTGTTCATTTTCCAACTATTTAAGTCATTGATTTAGTAAAATGATAAAAGTAAAATAAAACCTGGATTAGACAATTCTGTACATGCTCCATACATCTATTTTCAGAAGGTTACTGCAATTGCAGTGATTGGACAACAGGAAGTGAAACGAGGATAGCTTCAACGACAACAACTACACAACCAGCAAGTTCAACGACCACGTCTACACCACCAACAATGTCAACTACACTGACGACTACCTTAACGAACACAACATCACCGACGACAAATTTAACGACACAAACATTACCAACGACAACTACACCGACGACAATTACGTCGATGACCACTACACCAACGACAACTGAACCGACGACAACTACACCGACGACAACTACATCGACGACCACTACACCGACGACAACTGAACCGACAACAACAACACCGACGACAACTTCACCGACAACTGAATCGACGATTACTAAACCGACGACAACTACACCGACGACAACTAGACTGACAACTACACCGACGACAACTACACCGACAACTACATCGACGGCCAATACACCGACGACCACTACACCGACGACCACTACACCGACGACCACTACACCGCCGACAACTACACCAACGACAACTACACCGAAGAAAACTACACCGGCAACTACATCGACGGCCAATACACCGACGACCACTACACCGACGACAAATACACCGACGACCACTACACCGACGACAAATACACCGACGACCACTACACCGACGACAACTTCATCAACGACCAGTACACCAGTGAAAACTGAACCGGCGATAACTAAACCGTCGACAACTACACCGACGACAACTACACCGCCGACCACTACACCGCCGACCACTACACCGACGACCACTACACCGCCGACAACTACACCACCGACAACTACACCGACGACCACTACACCGACGACAACTTCATCACCGACCAGTACACCAGTGAAAACTGAACCGGCGATAACTAAACCGTCGACAACTACACCGACGACAACTACACCGCCGACAACTACACCGACGACCACTACACCGACGACAACTTCATCACCGACCAGTACACCAGTGAAAACTGAACCGGCGATAACTAAACCGTCGACAACTGCATCGACGACAACTACACCGACGACAACTTCATCGACGACCACTACACCGACGACAACTAAACCGACAACAACAACACCGACGACAACTTCACCGACAACTGAATCGACGATTACTAAACCGACGACAACTACCCCGACGACAACTAGACTGACAACTACACCGACGAGAACACCACCGACAACTACACCGACGGCCAATACACCGACGACAACTACACCAACGACAACTCCACCGACGACAACTACACCGACGACAACTCCACCGACAACTACATCGACGGCCAATACACCGACGACCACTACACCGACGACAACTTCATCACCGACCAGTACACCAGTGAAAACTGAACCGGCGATAACTAAACCGTCGACAACTACACCGACGACAACTACACCGCCGACCACTACACCGACGACCACTACACCGCCGACAACTACACCACCGACAACTACACCGACGAAAACTACACCGACAACTTCATCGACGGCCAATACACCGACGACAACTACCCCAACGACAACTACACCGACGAAAACTACACCGACAACTTCATCGACGGCCAATACACCGACGACAACTATACCAACGACAACTACACCAACGACCACTACACCAACGACAACTTCACCGCCGACAACTACACCGACGACCACTACACCGCCGACAACTACACCACCGACAACTACACCGACGAAAACTACACCGACGACAACTACACCGACGAACACTACACCGACGACCACTACACCGACGACCACTACACCGACGACAACTTCATCAACGACCAGTACACCAGTGAAAACTGAACCGGCGATAACTAAACCGTCGACAACTACATCGACGACAACTACACCGACGACAACTACATCGACGACCACTACAACAGCGAAAACTGAACCGGCGATAACTAAACAGTCGACAACTACATCGACGACCACTACACCAACGACAACTGAACCGACGACAACTATAACAACGACAACTACACCGACAACAACTACACCGACGACAACTTCAACAACCACAACAATACCGACATCAACAATACCGACAACAACTACATCGACAACAACTCCAACGGCATCAATTTCACCGGCGGCAGTATCACCGGCATCACTTACAACGGCGGCAGGATCATTGACACTTGCAAAACGGAAACGGAGACATATTACAAGTAATACAACTTTAGTATCTGTAAAGACAGACGCGACAACAGCTAGAAGAACTAAAATCGATTGTAGGGAATGGTGTAGGGAGTCTTTCAACTCTAATCCGCCACTAATAATATCACATAATTCAACCCAACATTCAGCTACACATCAGCCAACAAAATATCCGTCTCATGTACAGGGTAAGCATTACATTTCCGTTGTTTTAATTAAATTGGTATTTAATTTGATTGCGTCTTTGTCAATTCTAATGTTCACTTCGACCGTTAGAATTTCTAGAGAATAAAAATGTTTTTATTGATTAAACTTCTTAAATAGCAAATCTTCTTGCGTGTTACTCTATACATTAAAACTGAACCTGAAGAAAAATATAACTTTTTTGATTACTTTAACATAAGATGTGCATATAACACACGAATTCACTACCTTCAATATGCAGATGTATACTAAAATTATTAAATGAATTCAATTTTTAATAGTATCGATGAACAATAGGTATATATTGTACAATCGTATATAGATTCACGAACACGCTCTCATCATGTATGTATGTATTTTACATGACTATGATTGTTTTAGCTGCAACAAACGCCTTATAATCTTTTTCATTTATTTATAACGAATCCATGTAACTTTCATGCGTTTTTACACGTACCCAAACAATTTCCTTTCATTCCCTATGCTTTACTTACAAATAATGTTTGCGACCCCACATTCCCAAATACATTGACCGAATTGGTAAGTAATTTGTTTTTATATGCATTTTAAATTGCATACATACCGGTTAACGGGTAAGCTGATTTCTGTTCCATTTTCCTTGAAATACAGACATTACACTAGACAATAATACTAACAAGAACGATAATCTGGCGTGACAACCCCTTAAAATATGCGGAAACAGAGTACAATAATAATTAGCTATACAAGGATTACAGGCACTGGTAACAGGTATTCATTTTGATATTACATTTCATTCCTCTCTGAAAGTCGAGAACGATAGGTCGAGAGTCTAAACCAATGTCATGTTCTTATTGCCAATAAAACCACAAAAACAACGTACTTTCTCATTAAAACACATTTAGCACTACGTTTACTTTTTTACATTAAGCATATTCATAAACTCTAACATGCTTTCACACATTACATCACAGGAGGCTCTGCTTACACACAGACACCCACAAAAGGCTCTGCTAATACACCAACACCAGCAGGAGGCTCTGCTCGTACACCAATTCCTGATGAAGGTTCACCTAAAACCACGCCAGATGCAGGAGTGACAACAGCACTGCCAACTTTATATCCTTCAAATGAACCAAAATGGGGTAAGTGACACGTTGATTATGACAAGAAAAACCAGGTGTGTTTGTAATTTGGTATTTACTTCATTTGAAGGCCAACAAGTGTCAAAATTTATAAACTGTGTTACTTGAATAAGAAAGAAATGGTCTCATATGACTATTTCAAACAGCAGTGGTATCCGAAGCAGGTCTAATTGTATATGTACATATTTCATTATTTCTAGAACGGTTGTCTATAACATATTATGTGATGTCAGAAATCGGGAATACGGATATTTCTCCTTCATCCCCACTTTGTATGCAAAACACATATTTACCATGCCGAACGTTCATGTAAAATACATGCAATACATGCGCATTTTTTAAACAATTGTTTAAATTTGTTCCCTTTGTACTAAAGCCTCATCCAACAAAATATCCATCTCATGAATCTAACTGGGGTAAGTCTAATATAACGTTTTGAGATATGTATTGCTGTACTAGAAAAAAAATAAAATTAAACACTTGTATTTTAAACAATTAGTTGATCTAAATTTCATTTTACATATTAATATGATAACCCTATTGGCTTCTGGCAAAACAACATTTGCGACAGTGTACAATTCTTCAATTATTGTAGTAAATCAACATGATGATTTGTCCGTTTTTTTGCAATAAATAACAGAAGTCCCTTACTCAAATTGTGCAAAAATCCTATCTTATACTGGAAGTGCTGGTATTGTATGTATGCTTGCGCGCTGATAGTAAATCGTTTGCACGGGTTTTCATCACGTCACCCTTATTCGACAAACAAGAAAATCATCCCCCGCCTACATCCCAGCGGACGTATTTCCTCCCAAACATTTCAACGACGTCTGGTAAGCCACCATTCATCATCACAATCCTATTACGTTGTAGGTGTTATTGTTAATATCCATTGAATAGTGTGAATGCTACAATTGTTAAATATGTTATAGTGGTATTTTAATGAGTCCGGCGCAATAGTAATATGTTATATTGAACATGGTACTTAAAATAAAAGGCTGTTGTTACAAGAACATACTTTAGATTTCTTAGGATCCTATTGGCTGGATCTTTTACACGTTACTAGTTTCCAAAATCATATATCGATCCTTTTTCTCGTGAATATCAATTTTCAAATATAGCATTGAGGGGAATGTATTTACCGTAAATAAATAAGTATTTGATACATTATATTTTCAAAGGACCTTGGAATGTATTGATATATTTTAACAATAAAAAATAAATTGCATTTGTTTCTTGAAATCTTTTTCGCCAAGAAGTACTAGTGAAAAACCTGCATTAAACAAAGCAGAGAACCTGACAGTCACTCTCTCATAAAATGGAAACCAACGTAACATATAGTAACGATTTGCTGCAATTATCATGAAAACAACATTTTCTCAGGCGGGCTTAAAATCGAAAATATCGACAGATATTGACTTTTTTCTTTTTTTTATATAACGTGTGTACAAAATAAGTCATGTAATTGGTTTTATGACAGGTTGTTATCAATTTATGTATTTATCAAAATGAAATGTATAAAGTATGTTATCTTACAACAAAACGTCATGCTTATACAGAGAATTAGATAAGTTGGATCAAAATAGTTTTCTTAATCTACATTTAGAGTGTTCGTTATACTAATTTATATGATCGCTTTGTATGATGATTGAAATGTTATATATAGTTTCTGCAGTTTTTGTCTAATTGACATTTAATAATGACAACACACTTAAAGAGTGTTAAAATCGTAATTTATTTATTTCAGGTCTGAAAAACCCATCCATAGCATTGCAAATGTATGTTAACGACACCTTCTCTCAGGATTTGAAAAATAAGACTTCGGACATGTTTATCAAATATTCAGAGTCCTTTAAGAAATTAGTAAGTCATACTAATATATATATTTAATGATTACAAACTGTGTCCTATTTGTAATTATAGTAGTTCCTTTTAATTGTGGAAAGTAATTGCATCATTATTTCAATACCGATCATATACTTTATTATATGACACGAATTTGGGGTCAGTCTTTTGCAGGTTAAAGGTTTTTTATTCCAAACTATTTTGGTCATTTGGCACCTGTTAATGCGCAATACTTTAGCTGTATACCTGTACTGTATAATGAAATTAATTGATTTTGAGTTCGAATTACGTGTTTGTTTACTTTATTATTTATTTTCTTTGCTGTTTTAATGTATATAGGAGTACACGGTAGGGGTCAAGAAGTTTGGTGTTGCATTTCTTTGCTACATTCATACATATTTACAAGTAGGATAGTTTTGGATGAAAACAAATCTCTTTTATTTAAATGAGGGTATTTTGATGCGTAAGCGCATTCCTTTTGAACGTGGAAATGTCACATTTCTGTATGGGATTCCTATATAGGGCTGATTAAAGGAGAACATTTTTTAAAGTAATAGGAGCTATGGGTTTTGTAAGATGTGTTGAGTATTTTTTTATCTTTCATATTTACTATGTTGCTTCGTACAGGACACTCTGTCAGGGCCAGGAAATGGCTCGTTTTCGGTTTCAAATAGCAGACCCTAAAGGATCGTCTCCATGGTTGAACACTACACCATATATTCTATATTATGAGACATATGCTCTATGTTATCATTGTAAAGTGTTCAGGCATGTTACAAGGTGTACATTGTATATATTACAAATGGAAAACATGCAATACAATTAATATGGTTTAATATTTATATCATATACTATTAGTTACCCTATCAAACGTTTGTATGATGTATCTGTGTTTCATTCTAAAATGATTATATTTACTTTTCTTGCACAGCTCACAGCGCTCTTCAACGACACATATGGTTTTAAAGGTGTTGAAATCACGGAATTTTTGTAAGTGTAGACATACGCTTCTATAATCTTTAACTTTCTTGATTTTAAAGATCTGAAATGCTGACTCTCAATAAGGAGTCTTAGTCAGCAACAAAATGAGTTTGCTACACTTCGTCTGTTAATTATTCCAAATGTTGTTATTCGCTCTCAGTAATGTGTAAGTAAATGTGGATATATAGCTCTGTTGGTGTTGTATAATGCAGGTACTAACGGTTATAGTTACATATCCACAATTTGCCTTGAAATTATTTTTGAAGAAAATGACTTACTTATTAGTCCCATTATATGCATAAAACATAACAAAAGTGACGGTTAAAAATTGTTTAAAAAATGCATACATGTGTATGTATATTGGACATTCCAATCATGGCAAGCTCTTTCATTTGGTTAAATTTCTGTATGAGTGACAAACTATTCCTTTTTTCAGTATCCGCAAGACGTTTGGAATGAACTCTTATAATGGATATAACCCTCATATTTTTGGCAATCGTTATTTTCGCATTTCATTTATATTCAGAAACTTCTGTGCGCTTGCATTTAGACAACAAAAAAGATTCAAAAAGCCTTCTCCTTTCAATACATACACACAGTATTTATTGCAAATATTCATAACCATCATACATTTAATTGTCAATGATAAATGTTTGAGATGTTTTCAAGTGTTTTACTGCAAGCTATGCATAGTTCATGCCCCAGTCTAACCCATTTACGCCAGTCACGCGCCTTATCGGCCAAGCACGCGCCATGTTTGCCTGGCACGTGAAATATCCGTTAAACTTTCAGTTAAACACTTTTCAGAAACGTAGTACCTCATACTACAAGTACATATGTACAGTAGTACATGAATACCTATCTATCTGCTTTTGCTATTCTGTTCATTGCGTTTTATTTAAGGTAGAATGTGATTTAAGTTAAGATCATGAACAGTAATACTGTAGGATGTCACAAATATCAGTCAACAAGAAAAAATCAAAATGTTTATACACTCGCATTATAAAGTGCTTGAACCCTAACAGACAGTTGACAAGCAGATAGAAATACGCGACAGCACCCCTACAAATGTTTATTATTTTTTAACTAATACGCTAGTAAAGAAGACTAGTATCTGGAATATATCTCTTGATCAACAATATCACCTATACGAAAGCCGGTTTGTGCCACATGAAGTAATTTTAATTACGAGATAATTATATCGTAATAACGAGATAGCTATGTCGTAATTACGACATATCAAGTCGTGATTACAATATAATTAAGTCCTGATTACGAGACAATTATTTCGTAATTATGAGACAGCTATGTCGTACTTACAACATACTAAGTCGTAACTACGACATAACGAATTTTACTTCATGTGGCACTAACCGGCTTCCGTACCTGCAAGTAACTAGAGTTTAAATAGAAGTTATTGATCAGTTAAACTGGAAAAGAAATCCAAAGAGTGTTTTTCAAAAGTGTATACTTGTTAAGTCATAATCATTTAGATAGTTGTCAAATGCACAAAATTCTTCACATCTATAACTGCAGAAAATTTTGCTTTAAAATTAGTTTTCATAAAGTATAAGTATTCATCGGCAATTTTAGGAACAAAACAGCTAATTAGTAGATCAGTTAGGTAATATACACTGAGAACTCTAAACAGATGTAACAGAATGATTAATAAATGATGTAATTTTTGAAAGAGGAACTTAATTCAAAGATAAAAGCTCCTTAGATTATACAAGTTACTGGACAGTTATAGTATTCACTTATCGATGACAAATATAAACTATCGTATATTTTTATTTGGCATGACATTTAGCAAAAACATGTGATTTCATCTTGAGGAGATTCAGTTTAAGTTACCATGTATTTTCTGTTTATATTTAAGCCCAGGCTCAATAGGATGCAAATTTGACCTTGTTGTTAATGCAGCACCTAACGCGGATCCGTTAAACATCAGCTTCTTACAACAATCCCTCGAGAAGTCGACGAAATCATTTCCCAACACGATTACTATCGGAAGTCGGACGATTTCTATTGAAGTTAACAGATCAGTATCGGAGATACAAAAAGGTAAGCATCAACACACTGACTAGTTGTTCTGACGGAAATGCTGCTACAAGTGACGCAAGAAGAGCTTTCTCTTCCAGAAGAGTATAGGGTTTCGCCTCTGTGCCTGAATATTTTTTTAAATGGCATCAATTCTCTGGGTTTCTTCTTTTCGTATTAGCTTTTGATTTCGTTTTTAGTTCACCTGCCCGAAGAGCAAGTTACCTCATGCTATGGTGCGGCGTCCGTCGTCCGTCGTCCATCGCCCGTCGTCCGTCGCCCGGCGTCAACTTTTTACTTTAAACAACTTCTTCCTAAAAACCAAAAAGTCAAGGATGATGATATTTGGCCAGTATTAGCTGGAATACTTCAAATGAATGACCTTCGCATATTTTCAAGGTCGCAGGGGTCAAATCTGTTTAAAACCTTTAAACAACCAACTTCTCCTCAATAATTAAGAGGCCTAGGATGATGATATTTCGCAGTAACATGCTGGGATTTAGGGTTACCAAGTTTGTTCAACTGAATGAACTTAACGTGTTTTCAAGGTCACAGGGATAACATATCCTTCTTATCAATAACAAAAAGGCCTAAAATGTTGATATTGAGCCAATAGTATGCTGAGATGAAGGGTTACAAGATTTGTTCAAATGTATGACCTTGACGTAAATTCAAGGTCACATGGGTCAAATCTGTTTAAAACCTTTAAACACTTTCTTCTAAGTAACCAAAAGGCCTATATGATGTTATTTGGTAAGAAACATGCTGGGATGAAGAGCTACAAAGTTTGTTCAAACGAATAGCATTGACGTATAACCAAGGTCGCATAGGTCAAATATGTTTAACTTCTCCTCAATACCAAAAGACCTAGGATGATGATATTTTGTTAAAAGCATACTAGGATAAAGGTCTACCAAGTTTAAACGAACACTTCTACATTACCAAATAGTCCAAGGATGATATATAACCAGGAGCTTGCTAGGATGATGGGCTACAAAGTTTGTTCAAACAAATGATCTTAACAAACATTCATGTCAGCAAGGGTCAAATGTGCTTAAACCTTTAAACAACTTCCTCTCAATAATCAAAAGGCCCAGTATGTTGATATTTCGCGAACAGTATGATAGGATGAAGGGTTACCAGGTTTGTTCAAATGTATGTCATAGACTCAAAATCAAGGTCACAGGTGCCAAATATGTTTAAAACCTTTAAACATTGTTTTCTCAATAACCAGAAGGCCTACAATTATGATATTTGGCCAGAAGCATGCTAGGATGAAGGGCTCCAGAGTGTGTTCAAACGAATGGCATTTGTAGATATTCAAGGTCGTAGAAGTCGAATATGTTTAAAACCTTTAAACAACTTCTCCTCAATAACCAAAAGGCTTAGAATGATGTTATTTGGCTAGTTACATGCTTGTATAAAAGGCAGCCACGTTTATTCAAACGAATGGCCTTGAAATATATTCAAGATCACAGCTATCAACAATATTGAAAACATTTAAACAACTTCTTTTTTCATAGCCAAAAGTCCAATGATGTTAATATTCTGTTAATAGCATGCTAGGATAAAGGGCTACACAGTTTGTTCAAACAAATGACTTTCACCCATTTTCAAGGTCACATGGGTCAAATATGTTTAAAACAACTTCCTCTCAATAAATAAAAGAGCTAGGATGGTGATATTTGGCCGGTACCATGCTGGTATAAAGGCCAACCAATGTTGTTCAAACGAACGACCTTGATATATATTCATGGTAGCAGGGGTCAAATATGTTAAAACCCTTTTAACGACTTTTGCTTTCTAACCAAAAGGCCTAGGATGTTAATATTTAGCCAATAGCATGCTGGGATGAAGGGCTACCGCGTCCGTTCAAATGTATGACCTTGACATATATTCCAAGTCACAGTGGTCAAATATGTTTAAAACCTTTAAACACTTTCTTCACAATAACCAAAAGGCCATACATTATGATATTTGGCCAGAAGCATGCCGAGATGAAGGGCTACAAAGTTTGTGCAAACGAATGGCATTGGCATATTATCAAAGTAGCAGAGGTCAAATATGTTTAAAACATTTAAACAACTTCTCCTCAATAACCAAATAGGTAAGGACGATGATATTTGGCCAGTAACCTGCTCGTATAAAGGGATACCACGTTTATTTAAACGAATGGCATTGAAATATATTCAAGATCACAGTAGTCAAATATATTTAAAAAATTTAAACAACTTCTCCTCAATAGCTAATATTCCAATGATGTTGATATTTTGTTAATAGCATGCTAGGATAAAGGGCTACCAAGTTCGTTCAAACACATGACTTTCACCTATTTTCAAGGTCACAGGTGTCAACTATGTTAAAACAATTTAAACATCTTTTATATATCCAAAAGATCTGAGTTGATATTTGGCCAGGAGCATGCTGGGATGAAGCGTTACCAAGTTTGTTCAAACAAATGACTTTGACATTTATTCATGGTAGCAGGGGTCTAATGTGCTTAAAACCTTTTAACAACTCCCTCTAAATAACCAAAAGGCCTAGCATGTTTATATTAAGCCAATAGTATGATGGGATGAAGGGCTACCAGGTTTGTTTAAACGTATGACATTGACTTATAATCAAGGTCACAGGGGTAACATATGTTTAAAACATTTAAACACTTTCTTCTCAGTAACCAAAAGGCCTACATGATGTTATTTGGTAAGAAACAATTTCTTTTATAACCAAAAGGCCAAAGATGATGATGTTTGGCCAGTACCATGTTAGTATAACGGGCTAACAATTTTGTTCAAAGGAAAGACCTTTATATATTCATGGTAGCAGGGATCAAATACGTTAAAAAGGCCTAAATAATGTTATTTAGCCAGAAACATGCTGGGATGAAGAGCTACAAAGTTTGTTCAAACGAATAACATTGACCTATATTTTTCATTTCAACAAATTTTATTGACAAAGTTGATACAATTCAATTGGATGGAATAACAGGCAAAGCCTATATAAATTCTCTCCAGCGGTGGCTAAATTAACGGATTCTATTATTTTTATTTCATTTAATTGATACATCAATTTTGAAATGAACATTATATAAAAATAAATATTAAAGGGATGTAACTCCTTCTTAATTAAGATAACTGAAATACAAATACATTCACACTTCTCACATCACACACAAAACACTTCCATAGGTATTATTTATTTTTATAACATTTTACAATTGTATATAAGCTATATAGCAACAAATCACACAGATATTGGCAGACATTGACCAAAAGTCCATGTGCAAATATATGCACAGGTCACAGTCGCCAAAACTGTTAAGTTCTTATAGTTTTATATGAAAATAGATAGCTAGTCTATGTGTAATTCAATGTATAAGATCGAAACTGTAAAACAAGACAGATTGAACAAATCTTACAACAAACAACAACAAACAAACATGCTCAACTTTAAACTCCTATGTCCGTAGAAGAATACCATTTATAGAAAAGTAGTTAAAGTTACTTATTTGTGGAGTATAATTGAAATAGGAATGGCAAAGTATAAAAGTATAAAGTATAAGGTCATGGCTGGTTAGATCGTATAGAGATTAAAAAGCCTCGATTTACAAATAAATAACTGTACATCATTAAGTAACTGTCTGTTTGAACATTGACCTATATTCAAGGTCGCAGGGGTCAAATCCGTTTTAAACTTGTAAACAACCAACGTTTCCTCAATAATCAAAATGCCTAGGATGTCAATATTAAGCCATTAGTGTGCTGAGATGAAGGGCTACTGGGTTTGTTCAAATATATGACCTTGACTATTAATCAAGGTCATAGGGGTAAAATATTTTTAAACCTTTCTACAACTTCTCCTTTATTAACCAAAAGGCCTAAGTGATGTTATTTGGCCATTAACATGCTGGGATGAAGGACAACCAAGTTTGCACAAATGAATAAACGTTGACCCATATTCAAGGTCACAGGGATCAAACATGTTTAAATTTTGAAATGTTCTGAATAACCAAAAGGTCCAGAGTAATGATTTTTGGGAAGAAGGATGCTGTGAATGAAGGCTATAAGCTCTTTTCAACTTAATGTCCTTGTTTGACTTTCAAGGTCACAGGTGTCATATGTTTAAATCAAATACTTATATTTTGCCTGTAGCTGTATCTAGTCCACTTTTAAGATTACAAGTGTGAGATATATAACAGGTTAGCGATTCAGACTCATTGGGCCTCTTGTTCATTTTTGGATGTTGACGCTAGGTTATATGATATTTCATAAGTATGACCAAGCAGGTGAATATTCCATGTGTTCATTGTTTTAATGTTAAGCGGAAAATATTGTTAATTTTCAGCAACAACAACAGTGTTTACTCAACCATGCAAATCGTTTCAAGTCAACTGCTCTAGTGATACAGTCTGTGTGGAAGATACAGGGAAGTTTGTTTGCAGCCATAAATGTAATACCAATAACACATGCTCAAAGAATGGAGAATGCTTTGTGGACACACACGGAAACGTCAAATGCAGGTAAGATTGCGTTAATACAATTCTATATATTACATGTTATTGTCAATATGTCGTCTACATGCAGAACTCAAAATCGTTAATTGAATCAAATGTATAAACTTTGATATGAAAGATGATCTGATATTGTTCACTGTAATATCAAACACCTGTTCGATATGTAACAAAGGTAGCAAAATCCTCGGTAGTAAAACAAGTTAAAATGATATAGTAATTGACAAATCAACGATGAAATCTGAGAACAGTGGCGTATATCTACATGTAATAGTGCAGTTCCATATACGCTACATGTTACAAGTTAATTTGTTATTCAAGAGCTTGTTCTGGATTTCATGATTTCCGTAAAAGCTGTTTACTATCGACTGTCAAACTTACAACACAGGGTTTCCAAAGATGAAAGTTGATGAAGAATAATGCCAAGTTTTATGGTCGTCATCATCATTCCAAAGAGAAGTATAAGATTTTTTGCGTGATATAAGGTCGATGTTTTTATTATTCTCATAAGTATATACCTTGCTGAATCATTGCCACTACATCGGTTCTTATAATCCGTTATTAATTTATTAAGAATTGATTTTAGTTTGGTTTTCTTTTCTGAATTTCATCTATAGATACACACAAGTCATGTATATATAATTTGTATGGTTAGTGAGATAAGAATTCCCTCACTTCATGTATAAAGTAAAAGTCGAAAAGAATATGATACACTCACAGACTACAACAATCGATGAATGCATTTCGTTTCATTTGCATCCACATTTAAACCAAACAGTTGTCACATGACGAAAAGGCAATTTCTGTCGTGACCATTACCTCCCCACCATAAGGCAACAATGTGACAGACTGAGTAGCTCCTCCATCCAGACTTTCTATGATAACCATAATGATATTCTTTGTATCTTTTTCCATACGAATGTCGGTATGGTTTTACTTATTAGTGTACCTTATTGTTTCATTGTTATTCACCTATTCTCTGAACACGTGACTTAAATTGGATTTGAACTTTATTCACAATGAAGTTGTCGTCGATGAAACACCTTCTGGTCTTAATGGTCGAAATGTAAATCTGTCTTTTGTTTATATTTTTTCACTGGTTTTATCGTTTTGTGTTTCAAATAACGGGTTTATTTCTAATTCTTTATTCTCGTGTTGTATCTTTGAACAGATGCAGAGAAGATTCCACGTATGTTTATAAAGGTGACACGTGCAAAGAGAAGGAAATGGTTTTCTTCAGCGGGAAAAACACAGCTATCATAGGCGCCTCTGCAGGGGCTGTCATCGCCTGTTTTCTTCTACTTTTTATCTTCCTGGGCGCTAGGTGGAGACACAAACGAATTGGAAAAGCTGTAAAGTAATTATTAAAATATCAGCTATTGGTGATAAGACGTTATTTATAAAAAAATAGCCCCAGGCTAATTTTTAGATACAGTTCGTCGAAAGCAATATGTACGTTAAAGGTAGCTAATTTTGTCTAATGAAAGTTCAATTTCAGGTTCATATATGTCCTGACATGTCCATGGGCACATTTTAAAAAACCAATTGTTATTTAGAATGTCTATTCTATAAAGAAAATAACAATAATGGAACTGTCATGTCATATGTTGAACTAAAGATAGGGTACACGTGTTATCCGATTCGAAATGCTTTGAATCATGTGTATTATTACGTTAGGTCGGTATTTGTTTTGTCTGACTCGTTCAGTAAAATTTAAGGAATTTAAACAATATATGCGGGACTATGCAAAAATCTTAAGACGAGTGGAATACGTTGTCATTAGTTTACTATATCCTACATAATGTGCGACCGCCTTTTGCTTTCGTTATGCATTAATTTCTTTTCCGGTCATTGTTTTTACTCTCAAAGTGAAAAGCTGTCCGACCCTGAAGAGACTAGGAAAAATAACTCTGAGATCGAGAACGTGCCGATGGATGGTATGGGGAAGACTAACCTGACGTACCGCCCAAATAAAAGTAACCAACGCCAAGAAGGACGCGGTAACTACTGCCACGGAGAACACTCAGACATGGATAACATATACGAGGATGAGCTTGCTTATGATGAAGGAAGGTACTACAGGGTGCTCAACGATCCCAAAAGTAGGTCAAAGGTCAGTTGTTTACTTATTTTTGATGATACCATTACCAAATTGCATTGCCCTGACCGCCCATTATATTTGTAGTCTGTTTGCGGATACTCATCCATTCTACAAATAATCAACATGTTTATACACTTTAGTTGAATTAGAACAATCTTACTGATACGTAACTAAATTTAGCAAAATTGCGTTATTATGTTAAGTTTGAGTCCTATCCGTCGAATGACAAAAGATCTTTTCAATAATTCTAAAGGTTTACCTTATTTTAATTTAATACATGTATAGTGGTATATTCAATTATTTCAAGTGAATCAAATAGCGCCAACATAGCTACATGTAGCTCCGATAGGCGTAATGTCAACATAACAGAAAATTCAGCGAAAACAAAACAAAAGGAATCTAGAGCCATATCATGAAAGAAGATTGGCACTTGGAATAATTTTCACCAAACAATAATCTCATTATCAACTTTTGTGCGTCAGAAACTGTATTTATATTTACTAAATCACCTATAATATTACTCATTTCAGGCATTGGTGTACCAGCCCTCTAACATGTCGAGTCCTGAAAAGAGCATAGAAACTACACCTCAGGTTGATGATCTCGATTCCAAGCCGCCATCATATAATAGGAGACAAGAGATGGGGCATCAGCCATTTCACGATATGGTCAACACGTTACAGCCGGTAATTCAAATTAATGCAATAATGTTATTGGTTATAAACCTTAATTAATAATATTAATGTAAAGAATATGAAATAAATAATGGATTTTAAAATAGCATTCGTATCTAAATGCTCAAGCGGAAATCTAAATTAACAAGTTTTTAGTTATTCGTTATTACATTATCTTATTACATGCATATATGATATTTCGCTCTGCTTCCCAACTAAACGCGGTGAAACAGCTCATGAGCAATGCATACGAGTAAGTATAACTCTTCCTGTTTTGATTTTAACATCCTGAGGGGTATCACGATATCGTACCGGCAACAATTACTTTCGGAACATGTAGTTCCGTATCCTATTTTCGTATAACCTCAGTCCCGTTTTAGTTGTTTTTTTGTTCTGACGATATAGTAAATGTACTATGTTATTGTGAAATCTATAAGTTTCCTTGAAATAAGATTTTCAAACAAATTAAAATTTTGGAAATAGCTTAGTTTACGTGGCACTTTTTCTTTTCATACCATGCACATCTGAAGCGGTTTAAATAAGTAAAAAGTATTTAAATAACCCCACAGTACCTTAACTTTCAAAATAGCACTGCAACGCATGTTTCGATAAATTATGCGAAACTATGAACTCGCAGATTAACGTATTTTACGAAATTAAAACTTTTGCAGTAAATCTCTCGCATTTTTAATGATAAATTAAAACGCAGATATTTTAAGGGTTTATTTTTATTTCAAAAATATATTTTACATAATACATTGTATACTAATAATTTCAATGACAATGTCATGATGTTTGTATCAATCACCAATTACCATCTTTGACTAATAATTATAAATGATTGCTTTTCTTTTTGTTTTTTCTTTGTTGAATTATACATTAATATTGAATCATTTATATTTTATTAAATTGCAACTCAATATTGGTAGTGTTCATTTCTTACATCGCATTAATCAAGTTAATTAACTTGAGTTTCAACGAATGTTGTTGAAATATTGGTCGAAAACAGACAGATACAGTTTATCATGTATCACCAAATGAAACTTACAGTGTGGTATATATTACTTTTTCAGATACCGATGAAGTAGAGTGACATCACAGATACCAGTGTATTACCTGGAAATGTTGTAGAAAAACTGTTCGGAGATAATTAAGTATGATAGTACAATTTGGGATTGAGAATTGATTGACTTAATAGATATGCAATTTCCAGCATATAATATGGTCATAATGTGTTGAATTCAATTGCTTCTGAGGTAAAGATCTGAATGGACGTGTAAGGTAGTCATTTATACTGTCAATTATTTAATTTTTGCGTTAACTTTATATCTTGAACTATGTGGTAATAGTTTGCTTGCTTGTTTTTTAATTTGTGATTGAGAGGATGCTACTTAAATATTTCCAGGATTAAGTTTGAAATTCAGATGCGCGAAAAATCAAATTAAGCACATTACTTTGCTTGCATATCAATGCAACAATAATGTTCTCGTGAAAAAAAAGCGATTTACAGCATTGTATTCGGAGAACAAATTTCAGATCAAGCTACTAACTAAAACTGACGGGAATATGAAATGAGTACTCAGTACATTATTTTTGATGAACTGATGAAATATTGTCGCAAATGTATTGTCGATTCATTCATTGTTACCAGTGTGTTTGCTCGAAATTATTACATATAGCAAATATCTGGCGAGAGTTGTGAGGTCATAGCTTTGCTCCTTGTGACGTGAAGTAGTGGGTAGAATTATATGTGTTTCATATCAAAATGTGATTTGTAAATTGTTTTGCATTGTAGAAAGAGTATATGACAGAAATAAAAACATTAAAAAATGTTTACTTTTATAAGGTTTTATTTAGATTGTGTGTTTTAATATGGTTGTATGTACATTGTAAATATTTTTTTAATTCTTTTAATGTTTTGTTTTAATTGTTGTTTGATTTTTAGTACGTCAACATGTTATGCTTTTTAAGACAATGAGTAATTTGTATTTGATTTAATGTATACTTTGTGACGATTTAATCACTTTGAATAACATTATGTGTATTTAATACGCTTGTTTGAAAAAGAAAGTGTAATGATTATGCTTTTTCAATATTATTTTATTATATTTGAGTTTAAGGACATCTTGCTCGGTTTTTTTTTTATCTTATTCTTGTGCGTTTATCAAAATACATATGAAGATCTGTTGGTAATATGAAATATATAAGTTTATGATATTTCCTTATTTGATCTGATGAATAGCATAATCTCATCATGCAATTTTCTACATCATGCAATTTTATAACAATGTGTATCAAGTTGTTTAATTTTATGCAATTTTTAATTATACAAATGTGAATATATATAATTAAAAGAACAGATACTGGTTGAAGATGCATAATATTTAATTTAGTTTTGTTTATACTTACAAGTTTTGATGTTTTGATATGAAAGTGTTAACATATGACAGATATATGAAATAGAATTTTGCGCATTTTAGAGACAAATTTTACAACAGTAAAATTCGATAAATTGGATCGTAAATTCAGGTAAAATATAACAGGATTTCCGGTTTTCATAAAGTCACTGTTGAGTCCACTGAAATAAGAATACTTATGAAATTAAAGGATTATATTTGTTTGTAACAAACGCATTACAATTCAGGTGAATTAAGTGGTGGTTTAACATGTTAACATTGTTCATACATAGCAGAGGGAAGCCACCTTTCAATATGTAAAACATTCCTGACCTTTTGTAGCCTATTACAATATTCTGGACACTTAACGAATGATTTGGTTTAGATCTGTGACATATACATCTTCTAAATTTCTTTAATATATATTATATAATTTTTATAGTGGCCTTCTTATTGAGTCCTTGACGACATTATCCATTTTCCGTTTATCGCTAGATTTGACATTTTGTGAAGTAAAATAAATAATTAAGTCATTTTAAGAGTTTTCGACGAAATTATGTGTTATTATTAAGTTAATGACTTAGTAATTATAGTTAGGATCCCTGTCCTGCTGCAAGCAAGCTCTAAACGATTCCACTGTAGGTTTTTCTTACATACAGAAACTTTCCCCTAATTTTGTTTTTTGGTGTAATTGAAGCGCGACTGCACCAGATTTTCGCTCAGTTGCTTGTAGTTTACGTTTTGTTTATTTCATCCTGATTGTTTTATTAAAAATTCAAAGGTACGTTTTTCTTTTCAGAAATGATTTATTAAAACTTTTGTCAATAACATAAGGATTTTCAATTCGTTGAATGAGTTGTCTATCTTTACTGCTGCATGAATACCAATCTCAATCGTGCTTGGATATTTAAAGCATAAAGCATTTAGACGTGTACAGGTTGAAATTATGTTAAGCATTTAATTAATGATTAACTTATGAATGAAATTAAATCAATTAAATACAAGTTATTGCTAAATAAAATGGTTAAAATTAAAGAATATGGTTTTGTTTATCTTTGTCCTGGTGTTGCTAAACGTAAAGACGCCCGTTATGATTAGATGCTGTCTCTAATGGACGCTTGAACGGATGGACTGATATACAGAGTTTAATCTGCTTTTATATCTGCAATAACGCTATAAACACAGCGTCATGATATGTTCACCATATAAACAGTCTTTGTCTTTACCTAAAGTGTCCTTGCACGGGGCAGACGAGCTTATCTCTTAATGAGAACAAATCGGACGTTGGAAACGAAACGGTAAGATGATAAAGCTCCGCGACTGAAAGCTATTAGAGAGTCAAAGATGTTGTTCAAATAGGGACATTTGGTTATTAATTGATCGATAACTTTAAAACTTTGTGTTTATATATTTCAATTACCCGGCTCAACTCAAGATTATGTATATACACATGCAGTTGGTCCCACCACTTACAGTGCAATTTAGTACATACTTTACAATGGAATAGGAAAATGTAAGAGTTCATTATCTGAAATGACTTGAATGTATTTGATAATAATACGGGATTTAGAAACAATTTGTCCTCGACGCATTACTTATAATTATGCAACACTTTTTTCCAACTTATACTAATCACTCTTGTTGGCCTGGATGTTGGCGCGCAGGAGGCCTTTCTGTGGGAGGAAACCGGATAACCTGGAGAAAACCCACGTGATCGGACAGGAAACCACATACCTTTTCACGTCTGATCGGGGAATCGAACCACCGTGCTTTGGTGAAAGGCAGGATCGGTATCCACTGCGCCACCCGACCACTCTAAATGGATCTTACATCAGTATGATTGCTAATACAAGTTATATTTTTGCGAAATTAAACTAGTACTTATTCAACTCCATTACAACTAATCTACCCACAACATTATTATTACTACAACAACATGAAATACAACCAAACCTACTAAACACATACATACTACAATTAAATCTATCACTGACCCACCTGTATTCAATATGACACGTTTTTATACGATGTGTAGCTCAACTACTATTTATTTAAATACTTTTGTAGTGTCATGACCCGTGTTATCTGTTACTAGATTAGTGCGATAATGTCAAGTTAGAAAGGTACAGAGGTGTAGTATATCTAATAGCTTTATAGCTGTGTAGAGTGGATTGCATTTATATCTGTATCCAATTTTATCTTCCTTTAACTTATGTGCAATCATCTTCATGAATATAGCTGACATAATGTACTAATGATTTTGTGTTTTGGAACCATTGAGTTAAACAGAATGGTAATATTAATGTTTTTAAACCGTAAAAATGAGAACGATATTTAGCATATTTCTAATAAATTAGTAATATGAAAGATAAAAATACAAAGCAGAATTATGTATGTGATAATTTTATATTTCTAGTTATATGGTGTGAGGAAGGTAATATGTGAAAATAATATATTTCTAGTAATATGGTGTAGGGAAGGTATGACGTGACTATTATATATTTCTAGTAATATGGTGTATGGAAGGTATGATGTGATAATTATATATTTCTAGTAATATGGTGTAGGGAAAGTATGATGTGATTATTATATCTTTCTAGTATTATGGTGTAGGGAAAGTATGATGTGATTATTATATCTTTCTAGTAATATATTGTAGGGAAGGTATGATGTGATAGTTATATATTTCTAGTATTATATCTTTCTAGTAATATGGTGTAGGGAAGGTATGATGTGATTGTTACATATTTCTAGTAATGTGATTTGGGCAAAACAGGATAGAATAAAATCAAATTTAAAAAGATCATAGGAAGGTGACATGATAGCAATATGATAGAACCAAGTGCCTGTCATCGGATGTAAATATTAATTAGTTGTTTTACATTTCTTACGACAGCAACAACAGTTTAAAGGCATGATGAAGTTAAAGTATAAACAGTGTCCTGCGCTATCTCAATATACAGAAGTGCTACTAGATTACTGTGCACATTTTACACGTTTCTCGTAACACGTGGGTTTTATAACCTTGACCTTTAGTATCCCCGATTCCTTAATTGGTGAAATGATCATATGACTTTAACTATAGTATTTCTGCATCGACGTTCTAAGGGTTGTTTCTAACTTCGTATTTCAAGTTATTATTCAAAACGTTCGAATTATATCTTTGTTGAAAATTATAAACAGAAGAGTAATCAAGATCACCCTTTCAAAAAAAACTGGAGATGAAATCATGTAATTTGCATAGATAAGCGTTATAATCGTTACTCGAACAACATGTTCACTCCTTAATCATATCATGGATCAATTTTTAAAACTATTACGCCACTAAGGATAAAAAACAATGAAAGAGTATGATCTCATGATCGATAGAGCAATCTCATATTTAAAAGGTCGATTAATACTGACGTAGCAGTGTGATCTTAACAAACATTATAACATGTCCTTTACCAGTTAAACGTTATAAATACCGTATAACAGAGTATTTCCGCCGGGACGATATTTTCACGATTTTGCGTGTTTGAAAATGTATTTTATCACACATGCTTATAGTTTTGTTGATGATGTTATAAAGCCTATTCCTATAACAACTTGACAGCTTGACATATGCCAACTGTCCCGTCCTTTCGCGAAAATTAGTTCACTCACATGTCTAGTTCGCGGAATAATGATTTGTGTAAATTTGATTATCTCATTATTGGTCAGAATCGCGAAAATTTAAACCCGCGTCAATAACCCGCTATGCGGTATAACAAGAACCTGTTTATTAGAAATATTGATATTTATCTGAAACAAAAATGTAATTTGCCTATATAATACCTGTTGTTATCGTTAAATAAGCACTTCATGCACCCACCGTGCTAAGGATGAAGGACTTACGCAATGATCTTGTCTGAGTATCATATCATATTTAAGTTAGCTACGCCCTTATTTGGGCATGAATGTCGATACCATATCTATTGATTAAATAGTCATACAATACAAGAGGTTCTCAGCGGGGAAAGTATCCAAACAAAGCAGCCAATTACATTTCTCGCATCAGAAACATTGATATTGCAAATTTATCATTAGCTACAGAATTAACGCATACCTATGTACATAAATATCGATATTGTATAGGTTATACATGTATGCGACAACAATACCACAGCATCAAAAACAAGAACAAAATCAAGTCTGAGAGCCAACTTGAATGACAATAGCGATACAATTTACATATACCTACGACATCTTGGCAACGAAACTAGGAAGGAACCATGAAACTATATTGACTCTGCATGATGTAATTTAGAAAGAATATTTTTTATTGATGATTTCATGTGAGTGTGATGATGCACACAGGTATATGTTAACACAGTAAATCATTCATTAATTACCCACCAGAGATTACTGTTTTCCCAGAGAACAACCTTCATTTTCATCGAAAATTAAAACGCAGAATTTGATACATCTTTTATTCCAAAGTCATGCACTCTGAGGACTAAATATTTCCTGCACAACCAAGAACACCTATCAAAACGGGTCCTGTCAAATATTAGAATAAACGATCTAAGATATAGTTGTCAACTTATGTAATTAAATGTCGGATTGTAATCATGCACAGTTTCCATATCAGAGAAATATACACTAATATCTTCTAGAACATTCTTATTACAGAAACATAGTTTTATAAAATGCTTTCTTGTATGGAAAAATATATGATTTAAATCTACAAATTTCCATTCGCAATATACAGAATGTGCAAGAAATATTTACTTAACTTCAAAAAATGTGCAAGACTTAATATACTTACAAAACAGGCGATAAGTACATACTTCAATTTGCTCTGCATTACCACTATATAACATTACCAAACAAAATAGAATGATATTAGATCATAGTTCAGACATTATTCCCATTGGTGTAGTGATATGAAGAACAATTTCGTGACGTCGTGACTAAATGACGTCGTTTTGACCGACGTCACTATATTAAGTGTATTATTGACGTCACGAAAACAATTGTCGCAATACGCATTCCTCGTGGTAACCAATCCGTGCTACCGGATTAAAAACCCAATTGATCAATGTAACTCGCAACAATGTATGTAGTTATATTGTATATAATGTGAATATCCTCACGGTGGAATATATTGGTTAATGTTTTGAAATTAAATTGATCATTTCGTGTTTATTTTCACGAACTATATGTTTTGCCTGGAACGGTCGCGTGTACTCGTGACGTCACAAGAACAGGTCCCATTGACAGACAGCGCGAAATTTGACTTTAAAATGCGCTAACAGGTTGGAAATATAAGAAAAACCTAAATCAAAAACGGAAATATAAGTATTAAACTGCCTTCTTTGGAAACTTATTCTCCTATAATTCTCACAGGATTGCAGACAAATTGAAAAACGCGGGTAATAAGCCAACTACATCACATTATCTAAGGCTTTTGGTTACTAACTTGTTTTAACTCATTAATAAAAATAATATTTAAAGAAGCTTGAGAATAATTACCCATTTTGTTGCATTTGCACAAACATACTAATATCACGGTATATTTCCCCTGTTGTGTACCTAGATGAAGCTATACTCTCTGATAACGATGAACGAACAAGTACAGATATGATTCATACAATCTTGACGATACGTTTACCTGAACAAGACTGTCGTACAGAGTTGTAAATTTCAAAGGTATTTGTATTTTTAGTCGAGTTCCGAGGAATATTACACCATTAACAGAACTGACCGGGAGGACTTCGCAATGAAAAGTAACTTATTTTTATCTTTATCATGACGAGTTCAATTTCGCTACATCTGTACTCAAGGTGACAGTTCGTAAGATTAAATGTTTTATTTAAAGATAAAAGGCAATGAAACATAGCACAAAAAGGAACAGAGGAAACTATAAGCAAAGGGCAACCGATATAAAAGATATAAATCGATAATGCTCTTTAGGGATAAGAGTTTCACCTATACATTAAAACTTTTCGAACTCAATGTCTTACAAAACATTTCTTAATGGACGGTATTCGTCTCATTCCTAAGGAATACTAGTGTTTTGTCGAAACTTTTATCCACTTCAGGGAGAGTTAAGGCAAACATCTACAAGAGAGGGAAGAAACTTAAGTTATAAATCATGAAACTCGCTTAGGAATCTTCTGCCGAGGATTGAGATACCCAATAAAACCTCGAGGGGTGAATGTTATTTCTATTAACACTGCCGATCATTTCATACATAAAAGGAGCATTGTCCCAACTGCTTTAGTGTATTTTCGAAGTGACGTTAATGCAATCATGACGTGAGATAATTGTATTGATGACGACATGTCATGCAATTGTTATGACTGGGGAATAACTGCGTCTAAACACTAGGGTGAGGCAAGGATATCGCACACCTCTCTGGGGTAGGATATAGAAAAGAACATGTGTATCCAAGAGGTGATATGCTGAATGTCTAGCTAGAGTTGTGGAATCACACAACGTTACACGATGTGCGGTGTGTGCACCATGTGCAAACGATGAAAATCTGTGCGTTAATAGCATATGCAAAATTGTGCGATAACTATCGCACAGTTGTTCGATATAGGTATCTAGGTTTGTATACATATATATTTAAGGAATGGCGGGTCAATAGATACACATGATTATCTAATTATTCAGCAGTAATGGAAACATCACGAACACAAACTGTTTTGAAACGACCTCAATCGACACGTGTGTAGATATACGGTCATTCATATACGTACTTTACTTGCAAATAAATTGTAAACAAAACCGTCTTACCTGTTACCAGTTACCTGTTAATTACCAGGTACCAACTTCATATTTTGTATCACTAGTCCACCGTGAAGGAGGTGTGAAATTTTCCACACAAAGCCTTCCGGATTCTTTTTCATTCCTGAACATCAATCAATCGATCTTACCATTTGGCACTTATGTGCACGTTTTGTTGCACAGTTGTCCGCACTTTGTGCGCGTGATGAGCTGACGAGTTATGCAAGATGTGGGCACGGTAACTTTGGTGCATTGTGCGATCACACAATTGTATTGACTATTTTGACTAACATTTGTTTGTCCGGTCTCTAAGGCGGAGAACAGTGTTAGATACTTTAATGCCCAAGGGTGTAAGAGAGGAATTCTACCCCAGGGCTTTCATATTGGGTAAAACCCGAGTCTTGCCTTAGATAAATGACGTCCATCTTTTACAGCCTTAAGTATTGTTGTTTTAACCATAGCTAGCGAGTCATGATTAAGTTGTTGAATAATTATACTCCATATTTATTGTAGGATTTAATCTAATTAAGTTTTGTTATTATCTTTTTAGGTCAACTTCGTGCAATGTTGTATTTTATGTGTAAGTAATGTTTTAAATACTTAATAAGTCCCTCAAACAACTTTGGTAACTATTTGCTTGGTACGTTTCTAAACATGACTGATGTTCTTCATTTTTTCTTCCTGTTGCTATTTTCCTCTCGCCAAACAGTTTCCGGACATATTCTAAAAAACATATACCGACCAAATAATAACGCAACTCCATATGATCGGTCCCTCTATATGTCTGATTTTATTAAGAAAAATAATGTAAATGTATTTTGACATTTCAAAAGCCTCTCGATGCATCATGTGTGACTACAGGGGATATATTGGAAACTATTGTAACTATGCCCGTTACAATAAGAACTTGCTTCTTTCGATTTCGAACTGTAAATCATGTGTGACATTTGCAACCACCAATGCAATAAACCTTATATGAAGCATGGAAATTAACCGTATGATCTATATTAAAGTTTATAAATATTTCTTATATATTTTACTATATATTTATCAATTCATTTTATTTTGAAAATCTGCTTTACACTTACGTAATGACAACACCACGTGATCACTAAGACAAATGTAAAACCAATATCACAATTCCCTCCATATCAGAGCTAACAAATTGGAAGGTATGGTAGTTTGCACAATAAAGCATCATTGTGTTTACAGAAATAGCTACTAATCTTCTACCAGTCAGTGACACAACTGATACAAAGTTAGCGCTCGGACTCAATATATATTGCGTGTTCCCATAAAAATACTTTCAAGGAAAGAATCGATATTAACAAAAAAGAGAAATACATTGTTAACATTGGAGATTGTCACTCTCCCCTGTAATACATAAGTAATAATTTCCTTTACTGTATTAGGCTAATGCTATTGTTTCAGTAAACAATGGACAATGCATTTAACAGCTATAAGTGTTCAGCTTGCAATTCTATTCTGAAATTGTTTAAGTTTTGTTTCAGCATAAAAGTTTGCCCTTCATTACACAATCCCAGCTATTGGATTATATGATATCATGATACGGATGAGATCAATCAATTTTGTTTCAAGTTGTAGGCCTGGTAGTCTTGATTGTCACGGAAGCCACAACGATTGAAGATCTGGGTAAGCTTATATAATCTTTGTTTTTTGTCAAACTGCCTTATGTATGTATCCTTTGATGGGTACTTGTATAGCCTCTACCTTGATATATACCCGTTGGCATTTTTATCTTCTAATTTCCTAACTGGTGTCAGCTACAGATAAGTATTAGTTTTTCCTTCCACCTCAATTATTTATATCAGACTACTTCATCAATATTTTAATGAAACCTAGTAAGTGTAATCCTAATACAATTTAATCGGTTTTCATAGCACATTTTATCATAATGTGACAATTATCTCTTTTGTATATTTGTTTTCGCTTTTTCTCATAATATCATTTATTAATCACTCGCCAATAATCGCCTTTAGTCTTGATTGATTTTATCTAAAATCTATGCGATTAAGAGGTTGATTTTGAAATTACCTGATGGCGAAGTTTATTGCTTAGAACTCATTAGCATTCAAAAACATAACCGGATGTAGTCGAAAGTTGTATTTTTTACATTTTAAAGTATTAAAACGTAGCTTTACCCTGTTTTGCTCAAAATGTTATGATTTTGAACGATTACTGATCGATCCTAAACTGTCAAAGTGGCATTTGGTGCAGTCAATCGTACTTGTTTGCATTCCTTACTGGCTTACTTGTTTGTTTTTAAAGTTTTTGTAATACTAAATGTAAAATAAGTCTGCAAGTACGGAGCATGAAGTATGAATCTCGGAAAAGATGGAACAATGTTATATTGTTTATGATTTTAGAAGTACAGTTAAGGAATCAAAATGCGTCAATCAGATTATAAATGGTACCGTTGCATCAAAATATTGATGTAAAAAAGGCACTGACTTACGTAAAAATGATACCTTAGCATTTTGTTTTCATATCTGTTAAAAAAAACCAATGTTTTCGCAAAACATGGTTAGTATATTTATACAATTTATCTTTCCACAGAACAATTAATAATGCTAAAATAAGTTATTTAAGTAAACAGTTCTATTTTACTTGCAACTTATACAAATGTACATTTTGCCGTACAGATATTAAATCAACATTCTGCTCTTAACGAATGAGCTCAGGATCTAAACATTGATTTACCACTCAACTGCGGAATGATCTGTGTGGTTTCCGGCGGTGTATGGTTATTTCACTCATCACTGCCTCCCCATTATACGTTGATAACACGATTGCTGAAAGACATTCCACCTCTCCAGACTTTCTAACATACTGCTACTTAATTGATGATCTATTTGTATATTGATTTGTTTTTTAATTCTGTGGCAAAATGTTTAGATAACAAATAACATCGATAGGAAAGATTGTAGTATGTATATATGTATAGGTTACGATATAATGTGAAAATTGGAGGGCGCGAGGGAGAATGTAGGGTACAAAAATAAAACCTGTCTAGTAAGTATGTTTATTTCGTTACAGGGCGACATGTATGATGCCTGTTCAAATGTTTGGGAATGATGATATTTGTAAAAATAAACACAAAAAAGCTCTGAATTAATGGATAAATTATTAAAACAGATTCGCTGAGGAAGGTTGTAGCACCATGTGGACATTAGCGTTTAAACAAGTAACGTCATAGAAAATGAGATATATAATTGAGGATGTTTATTGCATCGTGTATTAAAAGGAAGCAGAAGATGGCTGCTGGAAACCCCTACTCTATGGGCATTACTATTACTCATTTAGTTTGTAGCATTTGAAGGCATATAGCAAACAGGTCCTGTAGATAAACAGTGCAGTTTTAACCATTAATTATATTTAAATACAATGACGTGCTATTTATTTCTTAATCGGTTCATTTCTCATATAAATGTCTTAAACTTAAAATGAAGATAACCTGCACACTAACGGACGAATTTCAGTATGATATGTACAGCATAAATTCTTCTAGTGTTCACATTTCCGCATTTTTGGCAGGAAATTGAGTTGTTATTTTTCAATTACTGTTCTGAAATATATTTGAGAAATGCATCATGTTTATGTATACTCTTTGCTACCCATATTTAGTTAACTGTCACATGTTTGAGGTCATCGTGAGGTCTGTCCTATGTCACAGTCTAAAATTCTCAACATTTTCTTTTAAAACTATGGACAATGCACTTTTCGTAGGAAACTTCCAAGGTCAAAGACATGACAAAATTGTGAATTATATGGTTCTCATTTTCAAATGAATTGAAATAATGGAATGATATTTTGATGTTATAAACTTTAAAGGCATTGACCTTGTGCCAGTCAACACATTTAATCTTTTTTGTACCATATTTTCATTTTTAAGTTAAACGTGGCACACTTGTTTTAAGGATACCTACTACTTAAAGAATTAGTAATACTTATTATATTAGGCTACATATGTATGCAACATAATTGTAGTATTAAGCCACTATATAATTATGTCCATGGCATTTATTGATATACTTTTGTTGGAAATATTCAATTATTACGAAAAAAGTGATGTTCATGATCCAACTATTTAAGTTATTGATTTAGTAAGATGATAAAAGTAAAATAAAACCTGGATTAGACAAATCTATACATGCTCCATATATCTATTTTCAGAAGGATACTGCAATTGCAGTGATTGGACAACAGGAAGTGAAACGACGATAGCTTCAACGACAACAACTACACCGACGACAACATCACCGACGACAACTACACCGACGACAACTACACCGATAACTACACCGATGACAACTACACCGACGACAACTACACCGACGACAACCACACCGACGACAACTACACCGACGACAACTACACCGACGACAACTAAACCGACGATAACTACACCACCGACAACTACACCGACGACAACTAAACCGACGACAACTAAACCAACGACAACTACACCGACGACAACTAAACCGACGATAACTACACCAACGACAACTACACCGACGACAACTAAACCGACGACAACTACACCGACGATAACTACACCGATAACTACACCGACGACAACTACACCGACGACAACTACACCGACGACAACTGCACCGACGACAACCACACCAACGACAACCACACCAACGACAACTACACCGACGACAACTGCACCGACGACAACTAAACCAACGACAACTATACCGACGACAACTAAACAGACGACAACTACACCAACGACAACTTCACCGACGACAACAATACCGACAACAACTACATCGACAACAACTTCAACGGCATCACTTGCAACGGCGGCAGTATCACCGCCTATTTCAAAACGGAAAGGGAGAAATATTACAAGTAATACAACTTTAGTATCTGTAAAGACAGTCGCAACAGCAACGACAACAGCTAGAAGTACTAAAATCGATTGTAGGGAACGGTGTAGAAAGTCTTTCAACTCTAATCCGCCACCAATAATATCACATAGCTCAACCGAACATTCAGCTACACCTCAGCCAACAAAATATCCGTCTCATCCACCGGGTAAGCATTATATTTCCGTTGTTTTAATCAAATTGATCTTCAATTTGATTGTATCTTTGTTAATTCTACGGTTCGCTTCGCCGTAAGAACTTCTAGAGAATATAATTGGTTTTATTGATTAAACTGCTTAAATAGCAATTTTTTTTGCTTGTCTACTCTATACATTAAAACTGAACTAAAATGATTATGATTCTTTTTGAAAATGAAGGCAATATTTATCTTTACGATCACCAACACCATGAACTTATAGTTCGACCACAATGACCCGTCGTGTTGACTTTTGATTACCGTACTGATAACAGGCAAATCAATACTCAGATAAGTAGTTTCAAAAATGCACAATTTGTTTATGAGCAATGACTTAATAGTTATCAGTTTCAGCAGTATTTATCTTTATTGATGATTTTTTTTTCATTTCTTCACTGTTTGTACTACTTTTTCATACAATTTCATTCCATTATGATCAACCATCGTCGCTTTATATAAACAAAATCACCTGTATATTCGATTAATTATGAAGACCATTTTATATATCGGTTAAAGTGACAACAGGTATTAGTACGTGTTAACTTTGCTCGTTATACCTGAACAACAATGAAAAGGTTGGTAATCCTGTACCAATAATGTGGTCAGTATGAAAAATCAAAGGAAAAGTCAACACGACAGGTCATTTGTGCCTGACAATACTGACTTACGTGACATTTCGACATAGTTTGTTGTTTTGATGCTAAATATAGTTTCGGATCGTTCATTTCTAGTCGGGTCACACATACGTCATATCTTATATTTAATTGTTTCTTTTTGGTTATCATTTGTATTTCACGAATACGGCAGTATACCTATATGTTACAGGTTTTTTTGAAGTGAAATTATGAACATATTACTACATAAACAAGATATGGGCTTAGTTTCATTTTTCAATAAGGTCAAGCTTGAAAAAGACGCTGTAAACTATTTTGAATTGGCTGCACAACGCCATTTTGACGTTTTCTATTATTGGATTATATTTGCTAACAGACTTTCTTTATTTCCTCCTTGTGGTAGAGAATGTACATGGATCATGCCTTATCTTGTGCTTACATCAAATGTAGAATATACATTGTATACATAATCATAGTAAATGTTCATCTCTGAGATCATTACAGGTATCAGATCGGCAATATTCATCATCAGTAGGGCCCACCTGTCTCGATTCAGTTGAATATCGTTTAAACTTCCGAGTACATATTGACACTGTCTTTCATCTGGCAGGTGATCAAATTTAACATAATCTGATACGTCTAAGAAATTGACTAAAAAGACAGTCCGCAAGTGACATCACCAACCACAACCTAACATTTACAAAAGCTTATATTCAGTGTTGAGGACAGTCAACTGACGTTTAAAACCCAGAACAAACGTATATATGGCAACTCAATCTAATCGTCAGTATTACACAAATTGTAGATAGGTAAAATCTGCTCACCTAAATATACATAATGAAAGATATAAACATTGTATTTCCTTTAAAAATAGCCTGCATTTTTTTGTATTTAACTTCTACTCTTGAACTCCGTCAAGTTAGAAGATGAAAACACCACTGAATAAAAACAATATCCGGAGCCTTGATTAAATCAAAGGAATAATTATATGTTAGCTAGGAAACACGTTGTGATATGCAGAAGGAGTGAATTGAAAACTAACGTCTATTCATAATCAGTTATCCTAACAGAGGAAATGGAAGTATTAACCTAAAAACCACAGAGATCACATGAATAGATTATGGTATTTTAACATATTTTTGTGCATATTTGCATAAGGGATGGCGGGTGACATCGATAAAACAGAGTTTCTTACCCTTCCGAAAAAAACTGTTTCATTCTTCTTGTACTTTATTTCCCCTTACTTTCATCGATGTTTAGTTCTACTTTCGGTTTTGTTGACACTTTGGTATGCTCTTGTTGTTGTTCATCTGTCTGTTTAAAAGAGACAAATACTCGATTCTATGGCTTAATATATTTAGATATAGATGATTGTAGAGTTTTGAAGACGGCTTTGATATTTCAGCAACAGCAACTTCAACGATGCTAACTTCAACAACAACAACTTCAACGATCACACCTACACCGAAGATAGCTACACCGAATACAACTACACCACCAACTCCACCGACACCAACTTCAACGATCACAACCGAAAATAACTACACCGACAACAACGACACAACCACACAACCAACTACAGAACCACCAACTACAGAACCAACTACACCACAACCAACTACAGAACCAACTACACCAACAACTACACCACCACCAACTACACCAACAACTACACCAACAACTACACCAACAACTACACCAACAACACCACAACCAACTACACCACAACCAACAACACCACAACCAACTACACCACAACCAACAACACCACAACCAACTACACCACAACCAACTACATCACAACCAACTACACCAACAACTACACCACAACCAACTACACCACAACCAACAACACCACAACCAACAACACCACAACCAACAACACCACAACCAACAACACCACAACCAACAACACCAACAACAACACCACAACCAACAACACCACAACCAACAACACCAACAACAACACCACAACCAACAACACCACAACCAACAACACCAACAACTACACCACAACCAACTACATCACAACCAACTACACCAACAACAACACCACCACCAACTACACCACAACCAACAACACCACAACCAACTCCACCAACAACTACACCACAACCAACTACATCACAACCAACTCCACCAACAACTACACCACAACCAACTACACCAACCCCAACTACCCCAACAACTACACCACAACCAACTACACCAACAACAACACCACAACCAACTACACCACAACAAACAACACCACAACCAACTACACAACAACCAACTACAGAACCAACTACACCAACAAATACACCACCACCAACTACACCAACAACTACACCACCAACTACACCAACAACTACACCACCACCAACTACCCCAACAACTACACCAACAACTACACCAACACCACCACAACCAACTACACCACAACCAACACCACCACAACCAACTCCACAACCAACTACACCACAACCAACAACCCCACAACCAACTACCCCCACAACTACACCACAACCAACAACACCACAACCAACAACACCACAACCAACAACACCACAACCAACAACACCAACAACTACACCACAACCAACTACACCAACCCCAACTACCCCAACAACTACACCACAACCAACTACACCAACAACTACCCCACAACCAACTACACCACAACCAACTACACCACAACCAACTACAGAACCAACTACACCAACAACTTCACCAACAACTACACTAAAACCATCTAAACCATCAACTACACCACCAACTACACCACAACCAACTACACCACAACCAACTACACTAAAACCAACTACATCGACAACAACTACACAACCAAATGCATCGACAACAACTACACCACCAACTACAATTTCAACAGCAACATCTTCACCTAAGCCAACAACATATCCGTCCCATGAGCCAGGTAGGCAACATATTTCCGTTGTTTAATCAAATTGCTGTTCAATTTGAGTTTTATTTGTTAATTTTAGGTCAACTTCGACCATAAGAAGAATATAGTATAGAGAATTTAATTGTTTATATTGAACAAACTGCTTAAAAAGCTTACATGTGTCTATACATTAAAATGAACATTAAGATATATAGATTTGTTGGTTACTTTGACATAAGATGCTCATATAACTAACGAATTCATTACCTTCGGTATTCAGTAGTATACTAGAATAATGAAATTAGTTCAATATTTAATATTATTGACGAACATTAGGTATATATTGTACAATCGTAGATAGATTAACGAACACGCTCTCATCATGTATATATATGTATTTGACATGACTACGATTGTTTTAGCAGCGTGAAATACCTTATAATCGTTTTTATTTATTCGAAACAAACCCATTTAACTCTCAACGTACCCAAACAATTTCCTTTCTTTCCCTATGCTTTACTTACAAATAATGTTTGCGTCCTCACATTGCCAAACTCATTGATGGAATTGGTAAGTAATTTGTTTTTATATGCATTTTATATTGGAGATATACCGGTAAGTGATTTCTTTTTCATTTCACTTAAAATGCAGACATTAACACCAATTAAAAAAACGGACAAGAACGGTAAGCTAGCGATACTACGCCATAAAATGTGCGGAAACAGAATACAATTATAAGTTGCCATACAATGATTACATATAGATGTGTAAAAGTGTTTGTTTGTTTGTTTGTTTGTGCTTACGCCCTATTAACAGCTATGGTCATTTAGGGACGTGCCATGTTTTGTTGGTGGAGGAAAGCCTGTATTCCCGGAGAAAAACCACCGGCCTACGGTCAGTACCTGGCGACAGCCCCACGTAGGTCTCAAACTCGCGACCATGTAGTGGAAGGCTGGTGGTAGCAGATGGTGTCAGACGAAGCGTATTGAAGTTTATAATTAGTGTGCTTAATGGGAAAACAATGAACGTAGTGCCAAGTGTGTTAGAAGTGGGAAGGAACGTTTTTTTTTGTGTCTCTATTGGCAAAAAGAACATGACATTAGGTTTAAACTCTCGACCTATCGTTCTCAGCTCTACACCAAATGTCATGTCCTAATTGTAATATAGACCCTAAAATGCACACTATTCCCTTATTCGATAACTCCATGCGTACAACAACGTCAAAAAACAGGCAATAACGATCAATGAAATATTCGAAATGAAATTGTGATTACTGTTAAAGTGTAAAAATGTTGTGTTTCAGAGAGAAATGAAATGTAAAGCTTACCCACCAGTGAAAAAACAGTGATTTACAGATACAGTGCAAAACAATTAAGTCCAAACGCAGTAAAAACGTAAATCTTACAAATGTCTAGATTTGGGAGAGGACGAGCTGTTGCTCTAATTTTTCAAGGTCAATTACAAGGTAGTATCGCCGAGCAGTTTGGTGTTCAGGCGTCATCTATTTCGAATAAATTAAAAATGCACGCTGTAAGGAAAATGACCTTAGGCCCAATAAGCGATTAACAGACCAAACATAAATGGATGGCCACGCGTAACGTCGCGACATCTCAGAAACCATCTTCAAACGACAACAGAAACTTCGGACAATATCAATGGTAATCATGGACTTTAAGTGTGCCCGAGAACTGTCCGAAATCGGTTGTGCGTTTTCAGCTTAAAGCGACGCCGTCCAAACGTTATACCGCAAATTAATCAAAGGCTATATCAACGCCGTATGCAGTGTTGCCGTGTACATGCTCGAAATGTGTATAGCTTGACTGATTGGATGCGTGTCTCGTTGTACGGTTTTCTGGTCCGATAGCCGCTCACATGTCATCCGACGTCGCGGTGAATGAGATGCCTATGCAAGCGGTAGGGAAAATGAACAATCCGGAGGAGAGATGATTTGGTTTGTGGAGGTAGTTCTCATGGTGTTAAAACCCCCTTAGCTGTCATCCAGGGCAATCTCACCGCTGTTAACTTGTCAAGCATATATATTTTCATTTACGAAACGAGCTATACAAGTAAACACTGTTTTAGCGCAGATGTATTCCCTAGTTTGTCAGCTATTTAGGATAGACTCAAAGCTATCTAGCTTAATCCAATGGGTATCTATGTTTATTTTAGCAAAGGTTCAATCGGATAAACCTCCGGTTTAAATATAGCACCGACTCCATCATTTAACGTCCACGACTAACGGAAGATTATTCAACTTGTTCGGTGCGTGTTGGAAACAATTTTCCGTTAAAAGTTGATATTGACAAGACACGGACGGCAATGGTAAATGGTACGTATGAATATATTCCTTCCCAGTCCATCCATTGTCCAAATATATAACGAAAATAAATGCTGTCATTTATTTCTGTCCCTCCTTTTGTGTCTGTGTTTTTAAATTTCCTGTTGTTGCCTTTTTATCGATTTGGATTTCCTATTTTGGCATACGATGTCGGCGCTATTGTGTATCAAGTATATGGAGTATTCACCGGTTACATGTCTGTTCGTTTGATTTTACATTTTGTATTGTTTTACAACCAGCACATTTTAAATTTAATTTGTCGGTTACATTGTTTGTGAAGCGCTTCCTGATGTGTCTGTTATAGCTTGTCAATAGGTTTTTTATCAAATACATTCGAAGCTAGTATCGAAAGTGTAATATAACATTGCCATTTATTCAATATCTCTACTAATATATGTTATTATTTATACCTGACATAAAATTGTATCAGTAATCTTAAGATGTAATGGTAATTATTGTTGTTGAATATTATCTTTTAAAATAAATAAGCATTCTGACAAAAATATTCTATATATACCTAGTTTTTATACCTTATTAATTAATTATCTTTTGTTTTATTTCTAGCAACAACAAGAGTATTCACGGCACCATGTAAAGCGTTCCAAGTCAACTGATCACACGATACAGGGAAGTTTGTTTGCAGCCATAAATGTAATACAAATAACATATGCTCTAAGAACGGAGAATGCTTTGTGGACACACAAGGAACCGTCAGATGCAGGTAAGGCGTGTTAAAGAGACTATTCAGTCAAATGACAACCTGAAAATCGAAACGATACTGAAAATATATATCCTCTAACGAATTTTAAAGTAGTTGATAATGACATGACCTGAAGGTAACGTTCAGTGCGGTCAGTTTCATTTTTTTGGGAATGCCGGTGATAAAAATTGCTACGACCCAAATAGCGCAATATCCGTGTCTTTCAGTGAAAAATAAACATGTACAGTACCACGCTGCTGACCGACAACTAAGTGTCAATTATGAGTCTGAGTTAACTAATACACTGTTTATCGATAGCAGGCATTATAAGTATCATAATATATAAATCTACTCATTTTTTTCTGATTTCATTAGAGAATGCACGCACTGAGAGGGTAACGCTGGAAAAAATCTAACCGCAGAAAATGCATTATCAATACAATGTAGGTTTAATGTGAAAAAGATTACTCACTTATTACGACGATTGAGATTGGAAGATGCTTTTGATTAAAAATAATGCCTGTACTTGTATTCCAAAGAAACTAAGTGAATAAAGCGAGAATGAACTTTTTCTCCTCGGCTGGCAAACATAGTTTACGGACAGCTGCCGCTAAAATGTATTTGAACAGTGGGAGATTTCTTCATTTCTGATTAAAAACACAAGGACTTGATCTTTTGTTACAGTTGTATTAGGACATGAACTAAAGTTTTCAGAGTGATTTGACATGTTTTAGGTGTTTAGATCAACTGTCGGTAGAAAAGCCAGCCCAAAAGCTGATATATATCAGAAGGGTGGAAAGCTGTCGATGTCGAAAAATCGACCCAACCTAATTTTCTTGCATTACATACTTCATTTCTAGGTGAAGTACAAAATGTTTAGTTCCGTTGGAAAGATGGATATTTTTTTTTAAAACCCTTCTTTATTTACGTCCAATGTATCTCGCGATACTTGATCTCCGTTGCTTCCCAAAATACACGCCATTTGCGAGTTTCAAAGTTTTTCGCAGTCATAGAGCCACTTTTTGCTTATTTGTGAGGTGAACGTCAGCCACGTGCCGACACCCATTGTGTGTTTGGCAGCCAATCAACACCACATGTTTCGGAAGTGGCTGCATTATGATGTTTTCTTGCAAAGGTGTGTCATTCAAATATATCATAAATGCCATACAAAACCAGTCCAATGCTTTATATCAGTTTACGAATTTACGTTTAAAGGTGAGAATGGTGACGTTCATCTACCTTTTATAGTGTAATAACGCTTCATGTCGTAGTTAATTTGTTATTCAAGACCTTGATCCGAATTTCATTTTTTCTGTGAAAGATGTCAATTATTGACGGTAAGTTTTATGGTCGTCATCATGTTTCTTACTAAGTGTATATTTCGCTAGCTAAGATGAATACGTTCCTCCATTTTTTTAGTGAAGTATTAATGAAATGTATATTCTTATTTTCAAAGATTGCACTATATAAAACATATTTACACAAACATGACATATGCATATCAATGAAGACTTTGGACAAGCTTTATGGTTCCAATAATAATATTATTTTGTGTCCTTGTTCCGTATGAAGGTCTATATCTGTTTACTTTGCTCATTAACGTGCCATAATGTTTCGTTGTCATTCCCCAGTTCTCTGAACACGTGACGTAATTTGGATTTGACTTTTATTTACATTCAGGTTGTCGTCGATGAAACACCTTCTGGCTTTCCTTGTATTTTTCAATGGTCACCATGTAAATCTTTTGTTTATATCTTTGCACCGGTTTTATCGATTTGTGTTTCAAATAACGGGTTTATTCCCGATTCTGTATTCTCGTGTTGTATTTTTTTTCGAACAGATGCCTAGAAGATTCCACGTATGTTTATAAAGGTGACACATGCGAAGAGAAGGTAATGGTTTTCTTTAGCGGGAAAAACACAGCCATCATAGGCGCCTCTGCAGGGGCTGTCACAGCATGTCTTCTTCTACTTTTTATCTTCCTGGGCGCTAGGTGGAGACCCAAACGAAATGGAAAAACTACTGAGAAATTATTAAAATATCAGATATTGGTGATAAGATGTTATTTATTAAAAAATAGCCCCATGCTAGTTTTTAGATACTGTTCGTCGAAATCAATATGTACGCTAAAGGAAGTAAATTTGGCAAATTCAAGTTCAAATTCAAGTTCAAGCCCATGGGCACATTTTAACAAATTGATAAAAATGTAGTTTTTTTTATTTAGAATGTCTGTTTCATATATTGTAATAGAGTAAATAACAAAAATGGAACTTGCATGCCATGTGTCGAAAGATTCACGGGTTATCCGAATCGAAATGTTGTGAATCATGTACATTATTACGTCAGGTCGGTATTTGTTTTGTCTGACTCGTTCAGTGAAATTTGAGAAATTAAAACAATCTATGCGGGACTATGCAAAAATCTTTAGAACAGTGGAATATGTTGTCATTTGTTTACTATATCCTACATAATGTGCGACCGCCTTTTGCTTCCAGTTCTTTTATTGTCGTTATGAATTAATTTGTTTTCCGGTCATTTTTTTACACTTAAAGTGAAAAGCTGTCCGATCCAGAAGAAGTCAGGAGGAGTAAATCAAAGATCAAGAGCTTGCCTATGGATGGTATGAGGAAGACCAACCATATGTACTGTCCCCATAGAAGTAACCACCAGTAAGAAAGACACGGTAACTACTACCCCGGGGAACGCTCGGACAGGGATAACATATACGAGGACGAGCTGGCTTATGATGACGGAAGGTACTACAGGGTGCTCAACGATCCCAAAAGTAGGTCAAAGGTCAGTTGTTTACTTATTTTTGATAATATCATTACCAAATGCCATTGCCCTGACCGTCCATTATATTTGTAGTCAAGATATGAATTAAATATTTATATATGATTGACACATACATTGATTTATCTCTCCTATATCATCTGCTATATGTAGACTTGGGAGTTATGCTCCTTATAATATATAATTTGCATCAATATTTTCTAACGAACCGTTTCATCTTTGTCTTTGTCATGTCAACCTAAGGAGAGAAATTATATAGGCCTAGCCTGCTGTTCAATCCTATTGTTTACTCAATAAAATATGATGAAATGAAATGGATGTGGCTAGAACTAAATGAAAAAAATCAGTGTATTTTCAAAGTGAAAAACTGCCCGACCCTGAAGAGATAAGGAAGGATAACTCCCAGATCGAGAACGTGCCGATGGATGGTATGGGGAAGACTAACCCGATGTACCGTCCACTTAACAGTTACCACCAGCAGGGAAGACACGATAAATACTACCCCGGGGAACGCTCGGACAGGGATAACATATACGAGGACGAGCTGGCTTATGATGAAGGAAGATACTATAGAGTGCTCAACGATCCCGAAAGTAGGTCAAAGGTCAGTTGTTTACTTATTTTTGATGATACCATTACCAAATCGGATTGCCCTGACAGTCCATTACATTTGTAGTCTGTTTGCGGATACTCATACATTCTACAAATAATCAACATATTTATACACTATAGTTGAATTAGAACATACTACTCTTACTGATACTTAGCTAAAGTAAGCAAAATTGCGTTATCATGTTAAGTTTGAGTCCTACCCGATAAATGACAAAAGATCTTTTCAATAATTCTAAAGGTTTACATCATTTCAATCTAATACATATGTAGTGTTATATTTCATTATTTCAAGTGAATCAAAGAGTGCCAACATAGCTACATGTAACTCTAATTGGCCTAATGCCAACATACGAGAAAAATCCAGCGAAAACCAAAACAAAAGGAAAAAGAGCAATTTCTTGAAATAAGGGTGGCACTTGAAACAATTTTCACCAAACAATAATCTCATAATTAACTTTTGTGCGTCAGAAACTATATATATATTTACTAAATCACCTATAATATTACTCATTTTAGGCATTGGTGTACCAACCCTCTAACATGTCGAGTCCTGAAAAGAGAACAGAAACTACGTCTCAAGTTGAGGATCTCGCTTCCAAGCCTCCATCATATAATAGGAAACAAGAGATGGAGCATCATCCCTTTCACGATATGGTCAACACAGAACAGCCGGTAATTCAAATTCATACAATAGTGTTATTAGTTAGAAACTTAGATTAATAATATTAATGTTTAGAATATGAAATAAATCATATGTGAATGCTCCAGGGGGATCTAAATCGTGAATGTTTAAGTTCTTCAATGGAACATGATGTTAATATTAATGATATTCCGTTTGCGTTCTAGCTAAACGAGGTGAATAGCAAAATGTAATATACCACACTGCATGAAAGATGCCCCGCCATCGAACAAATGGTACAATGAAAGTAGTTGTGGCGAAATTATCTAGGTTTGTGCTGAGAACAATAGGATACAAGTATTATTTGTATACTAGTCTTGTGATTATTATGATGAACTTGAGTAGTTCCCTTCAATGGTTCATTTTATAAAATTTATTAATAAGAAGGTAATTTCAAAGGATATGTTTTTCTCGTTAAGCTAAGTGTATGAAACAAAAAATCATTCTTAATATTGATACTATGTTCCTCTTTTCTGAAATAGTTATGCGTTTATTTTTGAGATGATATAATACAAAATTACTCCTTTGTGTCATTTCAGTACGCAATCAGACGACCGCAGCTCATAAGAAATGCGGTAAGCACATATGGGTAAATATAACTTTTTGTTTTATTTTGACATCGTTAGTGGTATCCCGATATCGTACCGGCAACAAATACTTCCAGTATACACATCTGTATAATATTTTCGTATAACCTAAGGATTTTAAAAAAGAACTTTTGGACAAGTTTTTCTTAACAGCTAGCTTTACGCCCCACTTTTTCTACTTATACATCTGAAGCTGATTAAAGTATTTGTATGAACCTCACATTTCCATCATTTTACTAATAGCACTGCAATGTTATAACGAGAAATAACGCCAAACAAATAATTGGCTGATTTACGGATTTCACGAAATTAAAATGATATTTTGCTTTCGCCGGTGATATTGCCGGTACGATATCGGGATACCCCTCACATATGAACATATGAAAACACAGATATTCGTAGTGGTTTTTTTTTTCATATCAAAAATACATTTTACATAATACTCTGTATACTTAGAATATCATGGACGATGTCATGATGTTTATATCAATCACAAATATCCCTAATGTTTCAACCAACTACAAGGATTTGACTGATAATTTTAATTAATTTATTTTCTTTCTGTCTTTTTCTTTGATGAATAATACATACTGAGTTATGTATTTTAGCATAGTGATATATTTTCATTGGAATGAAATTTAAAACGACTTGAAACAACAATTCAATAAAAACATAAAACGAGGTATTGTGATCGTTTCTATGCTAAGTAGTTATTATAATCAATTTTCAATTAATGAAGCATTCATTTATTATTAATCTGTCATTATTAATAAGATAATTGTATCGTTTTAATGCTCATCATGAGATTTAATCATTTTACAATTGCTGAAATACTTATAAATGGATAATTTAAAAAAAGATTAATTCCTACGATAGAAATAGTAAAAATTAATTTCGGTTTAATATGGGTATCTATCATTACTAACGTCGGATTATACAAGTTAGTTTCTTCAGCGTTGCCACATTGTTAAGAGTTAAATGATATATGTTGTAGCAATGTTCATAGCTTTGGTCAAATAGAGATAGATAAAGTTTATCATGTATCACATACTGAAACTTACATTGTGGTTATATTGCTTTTTCAGATACCGATAAATAGACTGACGTCAGACACAGTTCAGAGTGTACCACATGGAAAGTTTTAAAAAATATCTTCGAAAATAATTTAGTATGCTTATCCGCTTCAGGATTGAGAATTGATTTAAATATGTAATTCCAACATATGATCAGGTTGTTATGTGTTAAATATAACCTCTTCTGAGGTGAAGCTCTGAATAGACTTTTTGTGTTTATCCTTATAAATTAAACTACACATTTGAAAGACAGTCGTTTATACTGTCAATTATTTATGTTTTGCATGTGCTTTATTTCTTGAACTATGACGCAATATTTTGCTACATATGTAGCTTTTTTTTTTTTAGATTTGCAAACTTTCTAGTGATTAAGGTTGTAATTCAGATGTGCGAGAAATAGTCAAATAGGCAAATACCTGTGCTTGCAAATCAACCCAAAATAATATTCTCGTAAAAAATAAGCGATTTACATCAGCAATACTTTGGAGAAAAAGCTCATATAAAGCAACTTATTTAATCTGACTGATTATAAAATGAGTACGTAGTATATTGGCTTTTATGAACTACATGTAAGCTTAAATTGAATTAATAATATAGATTGTCTCAAAGGTACTGTTGATTCATTCATTGTTATAGTTTTGATGCTCAAAATTAAAACATATTGCACAGATCTTTTGTGAATCGTGAGATCAAAACATTGCTCCTTGCGGGGCAAGAAGTGGGTGAAATTATATCTGTCACATATCAATAATTTGAAAATTGTTTTGCACTGAAGCAAGAGTATATTACAGAAATAAAAGCATTAAAAATGTGTAGTTGTATTAAGTTAATTCAGTTTGTGTGAGTTTTAACATGACTACATGTCAGCATTTAAAAAATATTTTTTGATGTTTTGTTGAAATCGTTGTGTGATTTTTAATACGGTAACATGTAATGTATTTTAAAACAATGAGTATTTTTTGTTGATTTGTTGAAACCTTTGTGGCGATTTAATTTCTTTGAATGACCATATGAGTATTTAATACTCTTGAAAATATGTGTAATTATTATGCTTTTGTTTCAATTTTTGCTATATTTTTTTTGTTTTAATTTTTTTTTGCTCTTTTTGTCTTATTATCTTGTTCTTTAAACATCATTTGTGCGTTTATCTTAAAGATAGGAAAGATGTGTAGGGAATGTCTTTGTAAAATATAACGGTGACCGATCTATACCTTTTTGGTATGATGCATAGCATAACTCATAATACAAATTTCTACATACAATTTTATAACCATATATATCAAGTAGTATAATTTTATGTAATTTGTTACTATATATATATCTACATGATAAAAAGAACAGATACTGGTTAAAGATGCATAATATTTTATTTGGTTTTATTTACAGTTACATGTTTTGATGTTTTGATATGAAAGAATTAACATATGTCAGATCTATGAAATAGAATTCTGCGCATTCTAGTGCCACAATTTAAAACATAAATCAGATTAAATGGATCAAACACACAGATAGTATGTAACCAAAAAGTTTTCATAAAGTCACTGTTGACTCCACTGAAATAAGAATACTAATGCCATTTTAGAAGTAGATTTGTTGGTAACAAACGCATTATAATTCAGGCGAATCAAGCGGTAGTTTAACAATTTTTCATTGTTCATACAAAGTAGAGGGAAGCCACCTTTCAAAATATATGTAAAACCTTCCTGACCTTTTGTAGCCTATTATAATATTCTGGAAACTTCACGAATGCATTAGATTAGATCTGTGACATATTCATCTTCTCATTTTCTTTAATATATATCATATAATGTTTATAGTGGCTTTCTTATTGCGTCCTTAACGACATTATCATTTTCCGTTTGACGCTAGATTTGACATTTTGTGAAGTAAAATAGATAATTAAGTCATTTCAAGGGTTTTCGACGAAATTATATGTTTTGAATTAAGTTAATGACTCAGTAATTATAGTTAAGGATCCCTGTCCCGCTGCAAGAATTCCACTGTTTGTTTTCTAACATACAGGAACTTTCCCTTAATTTCGTTGTTTGATGTAATTGAAGCGCGACTGTACCAGAGTTTTCGTTGATCATTTAGCTCAGTTGCTTGTAGTTGACGTTTTGTTTATTTCATCCTGATTTTTTTTATTAAAAAAAAACAAAGGTACGGTTTTCTTTTCAAAAATGATTTATTTAAACTGTTGTCAATAATATAAGGATTTTCAATTCGTTGAATGAGTTGTCTATCTTTACTGCTGCCTGAATACCAATCTCAATCGTGCTTGGATATATAAAGTAAAGCATAAAGCATTTAGACGTGTATTGGTTGAAATATGTTAAGCATTTAATTAATGATTAACTTACATTGAACGTCAATTTATATGTATATTTTTAATATTTTATGATATACATCTGTTGATTTATCGACTTTTACTAACAAATCGTTATGAAACGTTATTAAATGTATTTATTTGATTTTCTTAAGATGATTTGTTCATTAAACTTCTGTAAAGCAAATTAAATAAATTAATCAAAAATGGTTGACTTCCAGCATCGAAATGCATTATTCTAAATATGTGTTTCCTAACTATATTATTCTAAAGATTATTGTTTGTCACCGGGTGGTCGACGCTGTTTACGTACAGAATAAATGTATCGTTATTAAAAATGTTGTAGGCACCTTTTCACTTTTTGCTATACAAATGTTGTAGGTCTTGATTTTCCTTGTTTTTTTTTTAACTCAATTACCATTGATGAGATCTAAATGGACGAAATTGCCACATGGTACACTTGGTGTTTAGCTTTTCCTTCAGCTTACTTAATTCTTCAAAATGGCTTTCCTAATTGTGTACTGCTACATGTATTTTATGCAAATTATTACCGTTTAAACTCAAATTACATCAATTAAATACAACTTATTGCTAAATAAAATCGCTTAGATTAAAGAATATTGTTTTGTTTATATTTGTCCTGGTGTTGTTAAACGTATAGACGCCCGCTATGATCAGATGTTGTCTCTAATGGACGCTTGAATGGACGGACAGACATACAGAGTTTACTCTTTTTTATACCTGCAATAACGCTATAACCACAGCGTTTACGGTTCTGATATGTTAAGCAGTCTTTGTCTTAACCTAAAATGTCATTTCACAGGGCAGAGGAGCTTATCTCTTAATGAGAACAAATTGGACGTTGGAAACGAAACGGTAAGATGATAAAGCAAAGTGGCTTAAAGCTATTGGAGAGTCCAAGATGTAGTACAAATACGGATATTTGCGGAATCGATTTTCAAAACGAGGCTCGGTATACAAACAAAATGGTGAGCTCTGGCTCTGCTTATCACTGCTACGTGCCGATGTGCTCAAATGATTCACGCTACGATCCTAAGAAGAAATGGTCGTTTCACAAACTTCCGACTGATAAACTTAAAAGAAAGGAATGGCTAATCAAAATTAGGAGAGATCTGGGTTCAAATTTCAACGTAAGTACAAATGCAGCTCGAATCAAGCACATGGGCTTGTTACAAACATGTTTGTGTGCTGCATGACACATTTCAGTACACTTGAGGCATTCTACAGAAATGTCTCACTTTCAGTATAAAATGAATATGAAAACATGGTATGTTTATGTGCGTTGTGACCCATATCACTATCAGCTGATCAGTAACTATAGCATTAGCATGTAGTACATTTGTAACGAGTGTCTGATATGTTTGTGTGCTGTGAGTGTGACCCATTTAAGTATAGCATATGTTAAATAGACATATTTTTATGAGCAAAAGTGCACCAGTTAAATATTTTTGAAAATGAAACAAAACAGAAGAATGTTTTTGTTCAGTTGCTTTTTTAAAAAAAATGTAAAATATATAGGCCTATATTCTGAATCCTAAACAACATGTTTAGTTTATATATTACCCCAGTGACCATGTCTTACTGTGTGTACTTGACAACTTGGAAAGGATTTTGTCATATTAAAATAAAGGTTTTAGAATGAATTTCATCAAAATGTAGTCTACGGGTTGACCTGCAGAGACAGTAGACTTATTATATTTTAAGTAGTTTAGTGTACCAAACCACAGTGTAATAACACCAAGTCTTGTAATGTAATAACTCACATTCATGCAGATAGAGAAAATAATCATACAGTGTATTGGAGTTTTGCTTATTACTGTTTTTAAATTTCAGATATCAGATGCCACAAGGGTTTGTTCTGCACACTTTCTAGACATTGAGAAATAAAAGATATTAACAGGCAAAAGGTTCTTTCGACCTGGAAGTGTACCAAGTGTATTTCCCTGGAAAGCTCCAGTAAAACAAAGGCGTCGAACACTAAAGTACATGTAAGATCTACAATATAGTTTATGAATTTAAGCATTGAGGTTGATTTATTTTATTTCATCAGGATATGAAAAGATTTTTTTTTGCAAACTGTATCAATCCGCGAAGTGAAAATAATTATTTGGGGGCAGATTGTTTTTCAATCTGATTAAACTAATCCATTTGTTCGGTTCCTGTCTGTTTAGAGGCAGGTTGGTCCAGTGCCTTTGCATCACACAGAATTTATATTCTGACTAACTGGGTTCGATCCCGGCTGTCAGCTCATATCTTTTAAGATGATTTATCGTCATTGCCTCCCTATCTGTCATTCGAACAAGACAATTGAAAAACCGAGGCATCTTCAACCTTTTATTAGTTTCTAAAGTCATAATTGCACACATCTATCTTAAAGTTATCAATCTAATTGAGATTAAAATTTAAATGGTATTTGTTAGTAATGTTAAATATGAATTTTCAGGTCTCCTGATCATGACATTGATCTACACACTCCAGTTCAAGGAGATCAAGCCTCAGATATCTGTGATTCAGACACCACTGGTCCTTCCCCAACAGCCTCTAAGGATCATGATTACAGCAGTCCACCACAATCCGCGGATGATCAGCTGGAGGCTGCCAAGCAGGAAATCAGTAATTTGAAAAATCAGCTTGATATGGTTGATAACAGTGTTTTTTTCTTTGGATCGTTTTAGCACTGATCAACAGATGATTAACTTTTATACTGGATTCAAGGATTATGAAACATTGAAAAGTATATGTATTGGACTGCAGCCAACAACATCTACTATGATCAGGTGGAGTCAAATGCAAAGACATTCTTTAAATACTTAAACCATTAAGTTTAGTTCGTCAAGGTTTCCCAGAGCAGGACCTTGCATAGCTGCAGGAACCGTAGCTTCTATGTCCGATTTTTTTTTATTGTTATCTATGGTCCGATAACAATAAAAAAAGAAATAAAAATTCGGACATAGAAGCTACGGTTCCCGCAGCTTGACCTTGCAGTGAGATTTAGTATATCTCAGTCTTCTGTGAATAGAATGTTGATAACATGGTCTAATTACTTGTACACGATGCTTGGTAGTTTACCAATTTCGCCATGTAATAGACAGTAATATGCCAGCCGCCTCTAGAGACACTTATCCAAAAACAAGAATTGGGTAAAGTACAAACACATAGTTCAAAAGTTATGAATTCAGAAACCTATTCTAATTACAAAAGTCACACAACATTTAAAAGCTTGATTGGAATTACACCATGTGGACTTGTATCATTTGTGAGTTCTTTGTACACTGACTGTGTATCTGACAAAGCTTTAACTGTTCTTTCTGGTATATTGGAATTAATAGAGCCAAATGATGAAGTTATGGCTGATTCAGGGTGAAAAGGGCAAGTTTACTAAAGCTGAGGTTGAAAAAACACATGAAATAGCTAGACTTCGTATTCATGTCGAACGGGCAATTAGACGTATACAAGAATATCACATTTTTGATGGAGTTATCCCTCTGACAATGGCTGTATCTATTAACCAGATATGGACAGTTCGTTCTATACTTACAAATTTTAGAGGGCCATTGTTCTAGTTTGTGTTAAAAAGACATTAGGTACCAAACAATTCTTTGGATTTCAAGTCGAAATGATGCATTTCACTTTCCATTCCCTTTGATTTTGTAGTAAATGATATTTTAGATAAATTTTCCTTTATTTTGTTTGTGAAACATTAACGTACATGCACTTTGAAGTTTGTCAGTCACTTTAATGTTAAAAAATAAT